TAGCCCGGGCGCCGTGGTCGTATATATAGGTACTGGCGCGACCGACCACGGTGCCCGGCGGTACCAGCGGTACGCGCGCTGTCGACGGCGTGGCCCGGGTAACGTGACGACTCTGATGGCGATTTGATCGACGGCGAACGTTTTGTACGGTGTAAAACGGGTCACCTTGGATTGAACTATTGGAATTAAAACGTCAGCAGTGACGACGCGGCGGTTTTCGGGCGCGGGACAGGTGCGCGACACCGTCGGCGACCGGATGCGGACATGGCGATTGGCGACAGGCAGTTCATAATGATAATATTATCATGCGCGACTGCTGTTCGGCTGTCCGCCGACCACATTTCTTACGCTTTGGGCTCTCGCGGCGGCCGAGTAACGCCGTCGTACCGGTGGCCACCGATTCCGCATTTCCGCATTACTCGCGTAACTATATGCTTTATCATCGCCCACAATATCGCCGAATGTATCTATAAGCGGCGCCCGTCAAGCGGTCGTCACGCACGGTTTAAACGCGCGGTTGCGGCATACGTCCGCGCCTTACCGTCCACGCGAGCGTGCGTATTCCGAGATGACCAGTGACCGGGTATACCTTGTACCCGATCACGTCTGCTGCAGATACCTGTTTTCGTCATTCATTATACCATCGATTAAATATAGACATATAGTACTTATAACGATAGGTACTAATATTTATAGTCAATGATTATACTTTTACGACGTATCTATATACTAATGAGATGACATACATACGAAAAGTAATGTCGTACTAAACAGAAAAAAAAACAAACGGCTAAATTATTATTATTGAGTTAAAAAAAAAAAACCTCAATATCACCAGACCAAATAGATAAGTTGTAGATGATGGATTATATTTTCATACTCTTCTATTTTATGATACAGAAATAAAAAGTAAAGGGATGCACTCTGATTTATTGTTTTAAATCATCACCGAGGCAAAAACACGTAGATATACGAAAACAAACTAAACGTCATTAAAAAATGATTTCGGAGTTATTTTGATAGTTTAAATTGTGTTAAAAATAAAATCATAATAATTGTAGTCTATTCTCTATTCTATAATAATCAATGTTAATATTAATAACAACATATATTTACTATCTAGTCAGTGACGCGAAAGAAAGGTACTGCGTTTTAATGAAAATCAGATATTCTTATTTCTTACGTATATACAACAATGTCGACTAACGATCAATGGATATTGGACTGTGATAGAATATTTGGTAATGTTGATAAGGTCATTTGAAACTTAATTAGAAAAATTAATTCCATTAGGTAATCATATATGATTAGAGATTTATTATTACTTATTTATTTATAACACTTATGATTTTTTAACATTTTTTTCTCATTCTAAGTCCTTACCTTATAATTGAAAAAACTCCAAAATTCTCAAGTGGCATCTCGCTATTTATAGAAATCTTTTCCCGATAACATTTTGCCATTAAATGGTGCTGTAGAAAAGATGAACACATCATATTCTTTTACTAAAGCGATTTTATTACACTTATGGTACAAAAAATCTATTTTTATGATGAATTAAATGCAGATACAGTCCTGCAAGAAGTTCAGTATGAAGTTATAGTTACCTATTAAGAAACAATTTTGATAATTTATAATGATTAAAATTAACTAAAAGAAATTAATAGGTACATACTATATTTTGTACATTGGACACACATAAGTTAAAATAGTGAATTTTTATTTAAATTATTACCTACGTAAAACATAACTATACATAAACAATAAAATTAATGGAATACTTAGTAAGTATTTTATTTTATAAAACAAAATTTTGAAATCACATTTGTTGTATTAAAAATAATAAAGATATGAATAACAATTTTTATTATTTTTTTTTTCAATTTCTGTGTTAGGATCTGATAGTAACTGAGGCTGCAACGCCTGCAACTATAGGTACAGGACAACAAATAGCCATCCAATCTCTGTCTGGGATATCAGCTAGTAAAACAGAAAAGGAAAACCTACTAGAGTCTAGATTATATCCAAGTTAAAGTTAAAACAATCAGGTCAAAAACAATTAACACTAGTACGGTAGTAACGTTAATCTGGCAATACATATAACTATATAAGTTTACTATATCTGAACCTGAATGAAAATTCAATTCAATTCGGGAAAAATTATAATTCAGTATTAGTTTATTTAACATAAACTATGTTAAATTATGCATGTATTTTTGTTACTTTTGTAAGTTGTACCACTAGAGGATTTTTTTTAAAAGCTGGACGAATTGTAAGTCAATAAAAAAACTGACCATCTTCAAATAATGTTGATATTTTAATATTTTTAAATAAAAATTTAGAAGTATAATTCTTTAGTTTTTATTAATTACCTACTATATTTTAGATGTTTATAATTTCAAGTTTGACCCTACTTGTTTTATTTTTTACAACAGAAAAGGATTTAGGTATGTTATATTTTAATTAAATATCTTTTTAATTTATATTATATAGTATTATGAAATGTTTTATTAGTTTTAGATTCTGATTAGAGCAATATATGTATATTGATTTTATAATGATATGTGTTTTTTTTCTGTCTGTCATCACCTTTGGGGTAGTAAAAATACTTCGATTTTCAATTTTGAGGTGGGTCTTTGTACAGAAAATAAGAAAATTTAAAATATTTAAAATATATTACTATATCAGTAAATTATTAAATATTCAGTTAAAAATCATAAGAATAGTTCGAATTTGCTAGATTATCAAGTATGTCTATTCGATAGTGCCTATCTCAAATCGGTTGGTAATGTTCACTGTGTACATGGACAAATAAAATTTCGCTTTAAATCAAAAATAGCGTTTCGATTAGCCGTCATATTTATAGTGACAAAATAAACACTAAAATATGATGAAACAATTTGCCTACATATTTTAATTACCTTATTAAAAACTATGTTAACGAAAAAAATAAAATTAATATCGAGTAATGACTTTCGATGTTGTATTTTAATCTAAGTTTAGAGTTCTCAGATTTAAATGTGAATTAAGATTCACGCGATCCCATGTTTTTTATTCACGAATGTATTTAAATTAAAAGATCTGTGAATTTATATAGGATATTTATTTCACGTGTATTTAATACATAATTTTATTAAACGTATTCAGTTATGGTATAAAATTTAAAAAATATATGTGTTAATAATTTCCATAAACAACTAAAAAAATCTGTATCTACTGCTCTAAAAAAAAAGATTTCATAAGTAGTAATATCGTAAAAAACAGGACGAGTTAAGCAAATGCTTCAAATTCAAAATATATGATTATCGATCACCATAACATAGAAACCATTGGAATATACTAAATGCATTTAAAATAAAATTCTGTGTGTATTAATAAAAAAAAATACACACGAAATAAGGATTTAACCTCACCTACTAGGTAGGTACCAAATTTACGTACCTAATATTTAAATGGAATATTTTAAACTAAATATTACATTAGGTGGCGGATTTTTAACATTCATAAATTAATTAATTTTGAACTAAGTAGTTGATTATTTAATGATAATGTAATTTTAAGCAGAATAAAATCAAGTAAAAATATTACCTATAGTTTGTTAGCAAAACATTTTTTGGTTGGTATTCTAGATTCACATTTTACCTGCAAAATACTTAGATATTAGGTACTGAAATTATATAAGTATGGTATAATTTACTTTAAGCTTACACATATATTCTTAGTTTTAATTATTTTATTAAATGTTAAAAAAATGTGACTATCATAATATGATAGTAATAATAAATATATCTTATATTATATTATTATATTATTTATAAGTACATACCATACATCAATCATCAAAATAAATATGATAATAATTGATAATTGTATTTTATATTCAAACTTAAACCTCATAGAGAATTTTCTTAGTGATTTTTGAAGGAGACCTGTATTATTAAAAATCTTTAGAAGTTTAAAATGGTCAATGGATAATAAATAGTCAACCAACAATGTTAATTGTTATTGTTACTTTATAATTTAGTGAGAAGAGAAAATTAATTTGATAACAATATTATTTAATAAATAATAAGATGATAAGAGTAAAATACAAACAAAATATTTAGTTAAAAAAAAAAAAAAGTAAACTTTATTTGTAACAATACAAATTTAACAAAATGTATAAATATTATAAGGATAGTAAATACATATTGTATAATATGTACAAATATCAATCATATATTTTATTTTAAAATAAATAAATAAATTGACATTTCATAAGAATTTACATAATATTATATATATTACATATTACATAGGTACATAAGTATAAAAAATGAATAAAAATTAACTTAATTTATTATAATAACTATATAGTCAGGAAGATCAAAATAATAAATTTACTAAGAGAATCCAATTATATTACATGACAATAGCTATTATTAAATTATTAAAAGGCAGTGAACATTTTTATTTTAAAGTACTTGATATTTACTGTATATTTGTATTTAATAGTTAATTGTTAACTTAAATAAAATTAGTGTAATTTATGACGAAGAAATAATTATTAAATAATTTAAGAAAATTAAAAAATTGTTCATATATTTATTTATTTAAAATGTAATTAACTTAAAAATAAAAGATTAAAAAGTACTGTGTACAGAATTAATTTTCATTTGATAAATAATCATTTTAAAATTATTATTATTTAATTTAATTAGATATAATTAGATAGTATAATATTTAACATAATAATAAATTAAATTAAATATTTTTACAATAAAAAAAAAAAAATTGTTATTCATTAGAAGAATTAATAAAAATTAAAGAAATATTTTATTATTTAACGATTTACAATTTTGATAGCATATTAAATTATACAAAGAATCAAAATTAAATAAATAAAGAGCGAGAAGGAATAGATATGAAAAATTTTCATATATTATTTATCTTGTTTTTATTTAATTATTAAATTTATTATTTATTTCATCAAAATTTATATTTAAAGTTGTAACATTTTCAATAATAAATTTATTTTTTGTCGATTGTAATGAAAAAGTAGGAAAAAATTACACAATCGTATTTTAAATAGATACAGAGTTCGGTTTGTTGACAATGCATATTAAACATGTACACTTCTTTTTGACCCTAAGTAAAAAAAAAAAGAGAAAACAATATACAGATTGAAATAATAGTTTTGAATTTGATCCATAATCTATAGACTATGCATTTCTAGCAGTTCTAACTCATAAGTATGTTTGCTCCTATTTTATAAAGATAACAGGTCAGATTAGGCTATTCATTGTCTGTTGTATGGTAAAACTATTACAGAGAATTTAAGTAGAATTTTTTCCATTTCACGATTTTTTTAAACTGATCAGCCAATTTCTAAATAAACATTAATTTACAGTATAACCGCAGTTTATAGGATTTAATAGTCAGGCATAGAACCAAATGCACCAGAATATTTATTTCCTCTTTGAATTAATTAACTTTGATAGTTACAAGACTTGAGTCATATAAATTATCTAGGAATTATAAACAGTTTTAAATAGCATGGAAAATTGAGGCAATCCAGTGAATATGATGTTTATATCATCCATAAACGATTTCAAAGTCAAATAATCTGAATTTAGAATAACAATAGACTTTTATATTCTTAATCATAGGAAATATTTATACAGATGATTTAAAAGGTCTATGATTTTGAACACATAAATATTATTTTAATTTTCTTCAATTAATTTAAGTTATTTATGTTTTATCAAGATAAAATAAATAATTTTAAATATTATGAAAATGTCAGATTAGTTATTAATTACGGTTGATTTGTACAAATAATGACTATTTTTTTAAAGATATTTCATACCTTTTTTCAAATATTTTTGAAGAAAAAATTGAAAACATGATTCTTATTATAAATTTTATTTTTACTGTTAATAATTAAATAGGTAGCTGTGGAGAGTTAGACACACGTTTAGTATCTGAAAAAATACATTACAATTGAAAATAGTAAATCTAGATGGGGAAATTCTATTTAACAGTAGATATACTCACTATTACATCCATACTCCATTAATCTTTCAAGTTTTACTTTTACAGGTAAAAGTTTATATTTCATTTCTTGTTCAACAACCCAATTATTATGATTGTGATTATTATTATTAACAGTAGGACAATCTTTTTTACTATCATTAATTGATTTCTGGTAGATTTTTTTTGGTGTTGTATCATTATTATCATCGTCACTTTTATATAAATATGCTGCCATAACAACTCCATTAAACGTTTTCCCATTTTCACCACACTTCAAATTTTGTTGATGATTATCTATATTGCTTTGTTTTTGTGCGAGTTCTAGTTGTTGTAAAACACATTTATGTCCAATACTCATTTCAGTTTCTTTTTCAGAAAATCCAATAAAGTCCATATTGGATATACTATCTTTCAACTTATTAAGCTCTGCATAAACAATATTTCGATGTTTACATGGACGTGTTTCTGCTCTGGTAAAACCTTTGAACCCATCATTAATTACATCATGATTATTCATCTTTTCTTGTAAGGTTTTGATTATGTTTTTTAGTATTCCATAGTTTTTACATGGGATAGTTTCTACTTCGGAAAATCCTTTGAAGGAGTTATGTGATTTGTCATCATCTAATACTTTTACGCTATTATTTTCCATTTCCTTGTGTAATATTTGTTTAAATGAGGTACTTGCTGAATCATTAATTTTTACATCCACATCATTAGATTTTTCATTCATTATATTTGTTGATACACTATCAGTAACAGATACACTAATTTCACTAGGAATATCAAATGATTTTGAAAGTTTTAATTTTTTATATTCTTTATCTTTATGATGTTTTTTTCTCTTACATTTATTAAAAGAATCAATTTGATTTGGTAATAGTTTTAATTTTAGCTTTGGTACTTTTAAGATATCACTAGTTTTTTCTTTTTCACTTTGATCCAAATTTATTTCAACATTTAATATTTTTAATTCTTTTTCATCCACTACTATTTCAGCTGGTTTTTGGTATTTTTCAGTTATTTCAACATTATTTACAGAGTTACGTTGCAATTTTATATCATTACATGGTAATCTTTCAATATCAACAGAACATACTTTATCAAACAAATGGCTAATGTTTGATACACTTTTTACAGTATTTAGTATATGTGATGGTTCTAAATTATTTGATTTTAATCGAAAGTTTTCTTTAATATCATCACTATCATCATTAGATGGTAGAATTTTCTGTTGATCAACATTTTCTTTAGCTTCTAATTCATTATCTATTTTAGATGTTTCTAAAGTTTCGGCAGTAGAAGAAGAATTTTCTACAAAAATTATATTTTCTGTTATAATTTCACTATGAGAACTTTCATAAGAAATTGTACTCATTGATAATAAAACATTAGCTGCATCTTGTTCATCATTTGTTATATTAGAACTTAGAAAATCATTCCACTCTGGTTCTTCTGGGTTTTCTGTTCTATTTTCTTCAATACTTTTATTATTTAAAGGTAATTTATTTTTTTCCGGTTGAGAAATTTTAAGCCTTTTAGAGTCATTACGGTTGCTTTTATGGCTTGAGCAAGTAGAATCTTTTGACAAAGAAGATTTGTTTTTAGACTTATCAACATCAATACTATTAGGATTCTTTGAAAAAGATTTTTCTTTAGGTTTATCTATATCAGAACTACTAGAATTTCTTGACAAATATTTGTCTTTAGACTTATCAATGTCAGAACTAATTGATTTCTTAGACAAAGATTTGTCTCTAGACTTATCAATGTCAGAACTACTAGATTTTTTTGATAAAGATTTATCTTTAGACTTATCAATGTCAGAACTACTAAATTTCTTTGACAAAGATTTGGCTTTAGACTTATCAATATCAGAACTACTCGATTTCTTAGACAAAGATTTGTCTCTAGACTTATCAATGTCAGAACTACTAGATTTTTTTGATAAAGATTTGTCTTTAGACTTATCAAGATCAGTACTACTAGACTTCTTTGACAAAGACTTGTCTTTAGACTTATCAACAACGTCTGTACTAGTATTATCTTTTCTACTACTTTTATGATTACTGGATGATGACTTAGTCTTGTCAGATGAAGAACTCTTATTTTTATGAATAGAACTTTTTTGTTTTGAAGATCCTCCTGCATTACTTTCATCATCACTTCGATTACCGTTTAATAATTTAGGCTCTTTACAAAAACTAGACGACTTTTTTTTCTCTTCAACAGAACGTTTAGTTCTTTTTGTATCTGTTCGGTTACTTTTATGACTTGAACTATAAGAATTAGAATTTTTTGACAACAATAATTTGTCTTTGGACTTTTCAACTATTTCTTTAGCTTTATTAACAATATCTTTAGATTTATCATTAATATCTTTAGATTTGTCGTTAACATCTTTGGACTTATTAATAATATCCTTAGATTTGTCAAAAATATCTTTAGGCTTGTCAACAATATCTTTAGGCTTACTAACATCTTTAGACTTGTCAACAATATCTTTAGGCTTACTAACATCTTTAGATTTGTCAACATCTTTAGGCTTAATAACATCTTTAGATTTTTCAATAACATCTTTAGATTTGTCAACAAAGTCATTGGATTTATTAATGATATCTTTAGGTTTGTCAACTATATCTTTAGATCTATCAACTTCTTTACAACTATTATCTTTTTTACTATTTTTATGATTACCAGAGGAAGATTTAGACTTGTCAGATATAGAAGTTTTATTTTTGTGTTGACTACTTTTTTGTTTTAAAGATCCTTCAGTATCATTTTCATCGTCAGTTCGATTACCATTCAATGATTTGGGCTCCTTACAAAGACTAGAAGATTTTTCTTTTTTGTCTGATCTTAAGTCTTTTCTATCATCTTTTTGTGTTTTATCACAAGCTATGTTATCAGCACTTGGGATAAAATCTAAATAAAGTTATAAATTTTATTATAATTACATAAGTAAAAATTAATTTAATAACAGTAGAATTAACTTGCCTATTTTGGGATTGTAAACAGTACTATTTTCAATGTTAGATTCATTTACCAAATTCATACTAGATTCTTTTAAACCTAAAAATAACACATTAGATTAATATAGATATATTATTTCTTTAATTAATAATACATTGATACTACAGTTTTATTTAAATATTGTTTTATTAAAACAATTTATTATTTTTATAATTAATGCTTAAAAACCAAAATAACATTCAATTTATAATTTTTTTTTTTTTTATCTAAATATCAAAACTAAAATCCCAAACTAGATTTTTTTAAACCTTAATGTTAAAGGAATCAAAATTATAAAAATAACCTTGAAAAAATAATAATAAAAAGTAAAAAGATTAAAATTTTATGTTTATCATTATTAATAACAACTTTTAAGAGGACGTTGTAATCGCATGTGTTGGGTTTGTTTTACTAACATGCAATATAGGTAATTTGTATTTAGCAGAATCCATTTTATACTATTAGCTTTAATATTAGAGGCAATTGACCTATTATCAAGCTTAATGATAAATATATTATCTAAGGCATTAGATAAGCTTTTATCGACATTTTAATTTTAAAGTGAGTTATGAGCATTTTAAAGTTTTAATATTTTACATAGCTATAACTCAGTTTAAAATAAAATATTAATAAGAGCCTATATGATTCCTTAGATAATATTCTTACCTTTAAGTAAATAATAAGTAAATTTACTCTATTATAAAAGCAAACAACATAAAACGGATTTTGCTGAACTCAAATTTGGTATGGTGTACATTAGAATAAAAAGAAGACAGGACATTAAGGTACAACATTCTCTTAAGAGGATGTTTTACCCAAATATATTGTCTCCATCTCATAGAAGATCTATGTTTAACAGGACTAATATTGTGTTATTAGATTTAATATTATGGTGAATTGATCTATTATAACACTTAAAAGGAAAAATATTATCATGTTCATATGTTGGCTTTCTTAATATTTTAATTTATAATCATAGTTATATGAGTACCTATGTAAATAAAACAATTTTAAAATTGAAATATTGTAAAAAACTAATGAACAAACACAGAAAATGTTCTTACTTTTAAGTTTTACAAATATCATAATATAATAGCTAATAATATAAAATTAGTCTAATTAAATACAAATTCACTATGCTATGTATTTATAATACAGAAGTCTTGGCGCGAAATATATAGTATGTCAAATGAAGCAATAGATTCACTTATTTTTTTTGGAATTAAGTGGGTGGGTGGGCTGTTTATGATAAAATATTGAGTAAGTTACTAATTATTATAACTATGTTTTTTACACTTGACAAAGAACTGAAAAGTTAACCCAAACCAGCGATCTCCAATCAAAGTTAAATACAGCATAGAAACCGTAAATATAAAAATAACTGTTAGAACAAATGTATATTTTATTTAAAACAAACTTCAAACACTTAAAAAAAAATTATAATCATGCATTTTTAATATTTTTTTATTGCTTTATAAGAACATCTCATAATGATTGTATATACTGATAATAATAATGATACATTAAAATTACAATTTGCTTATATGCACAAACTTTAAAAAAAAAAATTATTAATTCACTTACGGCTATGTCTATGACATGAGTCTTTGCTTAGACTGCTTAGACTAATATTATATATAAATTGTAGTGTTTGAAAATTGCATGAAATGATTAAATAATTTTTATATATATTTAACCCCTTAAAGCGCATACAATAATTTATTTATTTTAGAATACAGTACTTAAAAAATAATTATGGCTTGATAATCAAGATGTTAAACTTATATTATTGAGGTAATTAGTAAAGGGTGGGTGTATAGATAATTGTTTTCAATCTGCTTAAATTTATAAGATTTGGCACCTCTAATAAATATTAACCATACTATGGGTATATCACCTTCTTGAAATTTTTAATATAATAAAAAATTAACTAGAAATAAAGTTAAATATTAACAAGGAACCAGATTTCTTATTCTATTCAGTAATTTTCAATTTGTCATGAAAACGTTAAAAAGTATTTATAATTTACAACAAGACATCACTAAGTTATCATTACAATCATAATAATTTTGAATATAAATATGCATACAATTTTGTCCATTAACAGTATATAGGTACCATAACTTTATCTAAGTATGTTATAATGCTTCAATTTTTATTGATTGATATTATTTCATTTTTATAACATAGAGAAACAATTAAATTTAACACAAGTGGAGAACTAAGACATTAGCTAATGACTGAGTATAGAAGAAATGTGTATACTTTAATTATACTATATTATAATCTATAATATTACTTATGTATTTCGTCATAGCTAAATTTATATTCATGTTTGGAAGAAAATTGGCAGGCTAAGAAAATATGTCCTTTGGCTAACATGTCTTTATACTTAACCATAAGTTATATTTAGTATAAAAATTATTAAATATAATGATAGACATACCATTAAGTTCAATTGGAGGAGCCTCTTTTTTGATTCCCAAGTATTCATCAACAGCAATTGCTATTTTAGGTTCAAAAATACTTAGTGTACGAGGCGCAAGAACTTGAGTAAGTATTCTATCAGCTCCCTCTTCAATATCTTGAGTCTCACGTCTTAAAATACATATTTATTTACAATGTATATATTATTTCTTAAATAGGTATATAAATTAGTGAAAAGCAAGTAAATATAATACAATATAATAACATTAATAAATAAAAAGAAGTAACTTATTAACATTAATTAGTGTGTTCTTGAAGGGGATGACAGTAAATTACTGATACTATATGAAAGCTTATTTAAAAACTATAATAATTAGTTTCTATGGACAATAATGATTTACTGATTTATTTAAATAATTAATTACATTCTGTTATTTTGAAAAATATATTACTTAATAAAATAATATAAAAATTTAAGCATATTTAATTTAAAATATGTTTTTAAATAAATATTTTATCAGTGTAATTGTTGATCACAGTAAGACAATTAAAAAAAAAAAAGGTACTTAGTAAGGTATACTCTTGTTAACTTTATGTACTCTGAAAATTTTTCACACATCTCTGCTAATTATGTTAAACAAACATTTAACAAATTAACTGATAAGACTATTTTAATGATTTTATATATTGTAACTTTGATTAATACAATTTATTTAAAAAAAAAAAAAAGAATGATTATTTTCAACATTAAATAGTATGAATTGTTTCAAAAATAATGAACAAATGAAAAATATCAATTTCAAATTATAAATACTTACCCATCAAGTAAATGTTTTCGAAGTCGTTCTCGAACAGTGTTTTTATTTAATTCAGGAGTATATTTAACTTTACTTAAAAATTTGTTGACATTTGATTCTATTCGCTGTTTCCAGTTTTGATAAGTAGGCTATAAAAAAAAAAAAATGAAGAATAGATAATTATCAATGCCATATAATCATTTTATAAAATAAAAATTAGTTAATAAATCATATAAGTATACTAAATCAGCACAGTTGTACATTTAATAAGCCATTATACATATTTTACAAATAAAAACAATTCAAATATTTAATTTTATTAGAATACAATGTACTTAAGTGGTTTTTTTGTGATTCTAATATCAATATATAAGTATACTTTATACTAATTAATAATTATAATAATATTTTATGATTTAAAAATAATTAGAAAAACAATTTTTATGATATTACTTAATTAAAGCAGTAATATATTAATAATAAGGCTATAAATTCTAAGTTAAAAAGCAAACATTATAAAATATTTTAATAATTTATACATTATACCTTAGCATCAATATCAGTAATACAATGCCTACGGATTTCATCAAATGTGCCATTAGACTTTAATGATTCAAGTAGCATATAAACAATATCTTCGACACATAACATATCATTTTTCTGTTCCATTGTAGAATCTCAGGCTTTTGAATGTTCAACTAACACTATAAACATTGAACAAATTAATGTAAAACACAATTACAAACTAAAATATTACTAGTAAATTATTTAAATTAGTCATTACAATGTTAACTTAGATTAGTTTAAAATCCAAAGATTCTTAGATTTTACAGGCGTCCAGTACGTAACAATAACATAAGAATAGGAGTCAAAAACCAATTTAACGTCACTATAGAGACATAGTAAATTGAGAACAAAAAAATCGAACATAACATTTATATAACAGAAATTAATTACTCTACTAAGACTATTTCTTAACACAGACACACAAAATACGTACAATAAAGTTGATGGACATTCTACGTCCTACCATTAATTTGCAACATTTCTTAAAATGTAAATGACAGTAATGTAATGTATTTATGAAAACAATAAATATTAAAATTTTAAATTTAAAACACTAGTACACATTAAACAATCTGAAATTAATAATTATTAGTATTAACTATTATTACTTCTTTAACATTTTATGATATTGAACAAATTTTGGTAAGATAACTCGTTGGTAAATATTATCATGGAAAGATAACCATCGTCGCTGAGATAAAGAATACTGTACTACTACGTCATACATAACGATCTATACTTGTGAGCCTGGTCACTGGTGCCCTGGTGTGATTATAGGTACAAAAAGAACTTTTTATTCGAAAAGAGTAAAATAATAAATAATAATAGGTATTCTTTATCTCGATAAAATATAATCGTTATATTGTGTTATAAAAATACACACTCATACACACACACACACATATATATCAATTATATAATTTACTGTATATAATATTATTATCTGTGATAGAGCGGTTTAGAGTACAAAAATAAACACAGAATACAGATAGTCGATAGAGATAATAACATTTAGTTTAATATTTATTTTATACCTGTTATTATTGTGATTGTCATATTCTGACTATTCTGTGTTATTACTTATAGTTATAAGACCGAATAATAATTTTAATAATAATAATAATAATAAATGTCCATCCATCGAGATATGTGAATTATTTCAACTAATATATAATTTATATAAAGTTAATTTACCTCAATGATTCTATTTCAGAATAGATTTAATATAATATCAAATATGGCATCAGTTTACAGTTTGTGAATATTTGATATTATACGCTGATCGTAATACGATCTTAAAACCTAAGGTTAGGTTGACCATCTACCGTGTTATGAGCTGTGCTTTGATTTGTTTCCGATCATTCCGATTATTCAGTATTCATGAATATTGAGAATCTATTCACTATTGATACATTGGCATTGTGTCCTACCAAATGCCACAAACATAGACAGATAGGCGTTAAGATTTGGCCACTAAGTGCACTAGCCACTAGGTACCAATTATTATTTCAAAGCTTTTTGTAAAATAAAAAAATAATAACTAATAATTTATAGCACAGACTAAGAAATAAGAATAAACTAGAATACTAGATAGAGGTCTTAGAAAGTCTTACTCAAAAAATATACTATAAGATATAAGACTTAAATTATAATTTTTTAAGCTTAATGATATAGTTGTAATGTAATTACAAAATTGAGAAATAATTAAAACATTTTTATCATTATTATATATAGGTAATAAGGAATATTTAAAATCTGCAAACTTTATTTTTTATACATAATCAGTAAATTAGACTTTTTATATTTTAAATTATACAGTGAATATATTTTATACCATTATATAATAATAGGTAATAATATAAAAAAAATAAATATTAATTTAACATAGCGGCATAATAGCCTAGCAGTTTATACATTTATTAAAATAAATACTAGTTTAATTACCTGGCTTCACCTGTGTTTGTGTTTTTTCAAAATAACGTCAATGACGAATAAAATTAAATTGCGAATAATAGATCACTCGTAGGAGTATTTGGTACAACCTCGTGAAAAAAAATTGGAAAAACGTTTAATAGCGTTGTCTCAATAAAAAATATAAAAAAGACCTGTTCTTTTATACATATAAGGATAGCAATTTTTTTGGAAAATACCAAATGATAAAATCAAATACCTACCTAATAATTTATATACTATTATTATATTAAATACACCTGAACACATTGTTTTTATTTAATAATAATTAGTATTAAAGCTTACAGGTTCAAATTTATAATACTATAAAATATCTTTTTAGGAACATATTCTTTATTGAACATTAATATATATTTAGATTTTAGATGGGTTAATTACAAGTACAATAAATAGCTTCACTAGGAACTTTATAGAAGTAACAGATTGTAATAGAATTAAAATTGTGTTTTTATTATATAAGTTAAGTATTAAAAAATCACTGTGTAAATATTTTTTCATTTAAAAAAACATTAAGTTATAAATAATACAAATGAAAATAATTAATTATACATTTTTTTTAATATATATCAAACTATATTAATAACCTACAAAGTAATATTAGAAATCATTTCTTCACATTCAGTTTGGTTAGATGTTTCATTTGGTTGCATAAATGTAGAGAATTTTTTCTCTAAATTTATAAGTTGCAAATACAAATCAGACATATTACAATTTAAAACCCTACAGCATTGGCGCATAAACCATAAAAATGAGTATGGTAATTTTTTTTTTAATACTGTATTTATTTTGGAAAGTTTTGATTTTCTTAAAAAATGTCTATTAATGTGGATATACCAATAATTTGAGCCAGTTCCTAAGAAAATTGTATTTGGTTTCTCTTCATATGAACTATTAGTAGTTTCATTCTGTTTATTTTTATACATTTCTTGATTTACTAAATACACATTGACTTGAGAAGTATACGGTAGAGTTCCTATAGTATCGGAATCTTTATCATTTTGTTTTGTGTAATGTAATGGAATATTAAAGTTGACTTCTATAGGTACATTACACTGATCAGCTAAATCATAGATTCTGTAATAAATAAAATTATTATAAATATGAAACATAAATTAAAATAAATTTCATACATCAAGTTTTTAAATAATGATTTTGATAATTAAAGAATAAAATTATTGTTCTATAAGATAATTTAAAAAGCTCAAGGTTAAAGAAATTAAAAAAAAAGTGCACTTATTAATTCAGAGAGGTAATTTTAATTTTTTTATAGTTGGTGTCAGAATTTTTACAGATATTTAAAATAATTAGTAGGCCATAATTATAGGCATTTTATTTTGAAAGGGTAAATATATTTTCTATCTTCTTCTTAGCCTTCTCTGCTAGCTATATATAGTTGGCCACTATTGTTTTAAACATAGTGCTCTGTTCCCCACCTCTCCTTTAATTAAACCCACTATTCTCTTGTCATATTCTATCATATTATAACACCATTTTTTAGTCTTTCTCTCCTTTGCTTTCTTTTAACATTTATTTTTATAGCTACTGCCTCTGAATCATCTTTTTTTGTAATTAGATCTATTCATTCTGTAGAAATTTAAAACTCATAAAATATTTGTGTAATTTATTTAAGATGACACTTATATTAATATAGAAATATTACTATCGTTAGTATTTTTGTTAATTATGATTACTTTTAATGTATTTATTTTGTTTACTCATGGTAAATAAATTTATAAGTAATAGTGTCTTAATAATAAAATAACCTACCTAATCTAACTTATATTTTTCTAATAAAAATAACTCAATAAAACTGGACATTTATTCTATGGGCATTCTTACTCAATATAACAATACATAGTTTATTTAATTTCTATTTCTATACTTCTCCACTTGCTATTTTAATTTAACAACTTTAATTTAATAACAAACAATGGAGTTATAAAAATAAAAATATTTGTTTTTATATCAGTGCTTTTACGTTATTATTGCAGGCCAAAGAGGAACTTAAAAAAAAAAAGTTGGTAAAAATACATACCGAGGGTGTGTAGTGTTACGCTCACCCCGCATCCCTTACAAAATAAAGTTTCTGCATTAATTGAATATTGAGATAGATCATAGGCACCATAAACAAATATATTATTATAATCAATTAATCGCATTAAAACTTGATTTACTCAAAGATTCTATAGTCTTTTTTCGTTCACTAAATTTAAATTGGTCTGATGAGAGTAGCATAAAAAATATATAAATTTAATGGAAAAATACTGGGCTACTAAATGATATTTAAGAGAAAATTAGCATATTATTGATTTATTAAATTAATTTTTAAGTATTTTAATCATTTGATAAGAGTTAAAAAAAATTAAGCATTTTAAAATTTTATGTCTAGTTTATAGTGAATTATTATACAATGTAGTTAATGTGATATATTATTATATATATACCTTTCTTCATTAGTTAGGTATAAGATATCAGTTTGAGTAAAATTTTTTTCTAGTATTCTTTTTGCTTCATCGCTTAATTCTATTGAATGATATTCAATTATCCATTTTATAGTTGATGACAATGGTTTAGTTGAGGCAGGAATTTCTCTATAGTTTTCCTTTCTTCCAAAATCAGGTATCGATTGAAGTAAACATTCTGTGTTGTCTCTAAAACTTTTACATATTTTGTCTCCTACTCAATAATAAAAGTAATTGAAAACAAATTTTAAATGATACAATATTCATTCAGCAGTTTTCAAAATTTTTTTTTGTATTAATAGAGCACTTAAGTTGTATAAAAAAATTTAAAAACTAAGAATATTAATTTTAAAGTAAAAAAAAATTGATAGTTCATGATAAAAATTATTTTATGCAAATAATAATATTGAATTTAAAGTATCCAAGAAGTCCTAAATCATTTTGATGAAACTGAAACCTTAGAGCTTCATGACACAGAGTTTGAGAACTACTGACCTAAGTGAATATAAAAAACTATTACCTTCTATTATAGGTAAAGTTGGTTTCATAATATTCCAATCGTTGATAAATAATTGAGTGTTGCGTATATTGCTTTTATACAATTGTTCATGCAGACAATAGTTATATTTAGATACAATACAATTTCTAAATTCTATGTATTGTACATAATCATTCCAGCTGAACAATTTTTTATCAACTATATTTGACCTAAAATAAAAAATATAATAAACATGTGCATATAAAAAAACATTAGGTATTTAAATGATAAAGACTGCATTTTTTTTTTCTTAATACATTTAATGCTTATAAATTACAACATTTTTTATATCGATTAAAAGATAATTTTATTTTATTACCTGGGATTTGGAAAAATCTAATAAATAACATTAATTTTATTAACTTTTAATGGGACAACAGAAAACCGCATAGGTCTTGATCAAAGAACTATGATTTTAAAAATAAATAAATAACATACTGGTTAATTTTTTCAGCAAAGTCTGAGGATAAATTTTCTGCATTATCATCAAGACAAAATAAAAATTTGGCAGCAAATAGTATGTAAGCCATTACTTTAACTTCTATGTCTGGTAATATTTGATTACATTTAGTACTTGGAGGAGATATTGATACGAGTTTGCAAACAAAATGTGTGAAATCATCTAATTTTCAAAAAAAAAAAATATACATATATATATATATATATATATATATATACAGTACATACAGTACAATAATAAAATAAATAAAAATAATTTGTAAAAAGTAATAATTACTTGGAAGTTGAAGTTCATCACAAAAACGTAACAGTAATTTTTTAAAATCAATATTAGGTAGTTTATCAGATTTAAAATGCTTCAGTAGCATGTGGAATTCTTCATTTATAAAGTTTCTTGATGAACATGGCACCATTCTACTGAAGTTAATACCATGCTTTGAATTTTCTGGTAAAAATAAGTTAACACGATTTATATGCAAATGTCCTTCATGAATCCATCTAATAAAAATAAAATAATTATTAAAATATTTGGTCAGCTGTCTGCTATACTTTTTACTATTTATAAGTTTTATAATATTAATTAGTTTACCTAAGTATATCAGATAGGTAGATATCATCATTGTTGATCATAAGAGCTAATTGTAATATAGATATTAGTTTTTTAATAGATAAAACATTTTTTCTTTCTTTTTTTTTTAAACTATTCCATTGTTTTTTGCCAGTTTTTAAAAGCTTTAATGATTCTTCTTGAGTAAGATCTTTAGTCTTTGATGGCATTGAAGTTAGAGATTTTTTTATACTTTTAGTCAATTTAATTCTAAAATAACAACATTGTTAAATAAGTGTATATCAATATTATAAATAATAATACTATATCTTACTTGATTTTACTTGACTTATTACTTCTTTGCAATAAACTAATATCATCTGATAATCCTACTGAGTCGTTGTTTGAATCTCTTGTAGAGTGGTCTAATTTTTTTAATTTCCGGCTAAACTGTAATTTAAATTTTTTAAATTAGGTTATAATATTTAATTAATAATTAATAATTTACTCTATTTCGTTTATTAATGTCTGTTATACTAGAATTAATGCTAGACGTAAGTGATTTTCTTTTATTGGAACATCTTCTTTTTTTATTTTCTTTCGCTACTCCAATTTTTGCACTAAGAATTTTGTTTTTCAGATTTTCAACTCCGTATAAAATTTCACAGTCACTGGAAATAATTTTAATAATTGTTATATTATTATTATAACAATATTCAGATAACTGTCACTTTAAATTAATTGATGCTAACTGATATAGTAATTTTTAGTTTTTTTTTTTTTGTGAACAACTGTCTACTAATAAACTTTTATCATATTGCTGCATTTTATACTATAATGGTTATCTGAATATCAATCAACTCTTGGCGTTCAATAATATTCATAAAACAAAATTAGTGACAACATTTTTAATCAAAATTATTTTAATTATCTTACACATCAATTATTGATGTATTTAATTTTGGAAGTTTCTTAAATTTCTTTGAAGTAAACGCAACTTCAATGCATTGCAAATATTGAACCCATAGTTGTAACACTATCACTTTTAAGGTAGGTTTAGCTCCAAGTTCAATAATCTCATTAGTAAGTCCTAAAAGTATAAAATTATAACATTCCCAAGATAATAGTTTTTTAGCTTTTTCTAGTTGAGATCCTGTTGTTATTTCATGATCTATATTTGTAGGATCTTCATAGTTAAGATTAACATTTTCATGTAAGTCTATGTGTTCTTCTCTAATACTCTGTAAAATTAAAACACAAATAAAGTAATCAATATAATATAACAAATAAAAAAAAAAAATAAAAAAAATTATTACTTTATCTTTGTAAGAAGAAATTTTATTGAAAAATAAATTTGAAACTACCTATCAACTGTTTTTAGTTAAAATAAATTGTTAATTAGGATTTTAAAATATTATTAAATATAAATATAATTGAAGTAAGTATCTTACAGGTTAAATAAACCCAATTTTGAACACAGAAAATAATGACTTAAAATTATGCCAACAAAAAAAAAATAAATAATATTAAGTATAAATAATTCTAAATACACAGTTACTTTTATATTACCTATTTAATAAAATATTTGAATTTTCCTTAAAATAAAAATTAATTAAATAATTATATATGCTTACTTGAGACTGTATTCCACATTCATTACACACAAATACACCATCAATAACGGTGAAATTGTTACAACCACAAACAAAACATTCATTTGTTTGCATTTTGTTAAAGTTCTAATTATAAATGAATAATTATATAAAATACTTGAAAACTTGTCTTCTTTAATTACGATATTTCATTATTTGAAATTTATACTATTAAAACAAATACTAATAAGTCATAATACATTTTTGAATATATTAATTGTACAATGTACATATTTTATATATATATTATCATTTATCAATTATCACGTTTAAAAAAACGGATTTGTTGATAAGGATTATATTGATTATATTATTTACAATTATAACAGTCTTAGACAGTTCAACAGTTGTAGATAATACTATCTTCAATAACCGTAGTCTCTAAATTTAAGAACAAACTAAAAAGCGTAAAGGTTAACTATTATTTAAAAAATCAAAACACATATTATCTATATAAGTAGTAGGTTCTAATGGCATTTTATTAAATTTATTAAATATTTTTATTTAATACAATTAGCACTAACACTTATTTTAAAAATAGATGTAGGTAGGAGGTAAGTACTTTATTAAACGACCTGTTTACGGAGAAATCAAGAATTTTTAAAAACGTTTGTAGGATATTTCTCCTTCACACTGGGTTTACACCTGGCTGATAAAACAACGATTTTTGTTTCCCGACAAATAGCCTAATAGGCTAGGCACTAATTTTAGTACCTAATATAATCATTGACCGTTCAAATTAGGAATCCTAAATAAAAAAAAAAAAAACAATTGAAATAACAATTATTACATTTTAATGTTTGTTAAACATTAATTGGAATGTACCTACTTTTATTAAACGTGATTCATATTTTAATAAACACCAAATAGAATGTAATTTTTGATAATACCCACTCTAAAAAAATGTTTATTTTAAAATTTAAATATATTTTTTATGAGAATAATTTTTATGCCCAGTAAGTAAATTTTTTATAATTACATAATATAAAAATAGGTTGAATGGGTTACCAGGATGAGAATAATTTTCAAGAGTTTTGTAAGCTGCATATGCTCTCAAAATTCTTCTGGCACCACTGTGTTTGCAATAGCTGTGGTTCGTATAAGTTTTAGGTAATTTTGGTTTTCGTAGATTAACTATAGAGATATATAAAGATATTATTGTAAAGATGCGGTGGTGGACTATAAGAAAAATTCGGTACGAGAAAACTATTTGACCAGCTCTCAAACTTGTTTTATCTTGGGTATCTTTTCTTGTGTACTTGTGCAAGTTTCAGTCGACTTCTTAACTGTAGTATAGTAGTTAGTTTATTTACTTCCCTCCCTCTTTTTAAAACTATAGGAATAAAATAAGTTTTTTCATTATTTTTTTTTTTTTTTATTAAGCTGATAAATTTTTTTTCTTTTGAAAATGCTTTTAATTATAGGTGTTTTAGACCACTTTTTATTTTTTTTAATCTTAATAATTTATTGGGTTTAAAAATATGACTAAATAGATTTTGATAAAATTTAATTATTGAATAACTTTACTCATAAATTATTTAACTGCTAGGTATGGTTTTGTCTAAAAGACATTGGTCATATTGATCATAATACTGTAAGGCATAGGCTATAACTAGGCTCTAAACATCCTAGATACTTCACATTTTTTCCGATTTCATGTTTTCGAGTAAAAGCCTGAAAATCATTCACTAGCCGGACATAACATATTCGTAAGGTTTTCTTCCAGTGTATTTACCTTAACCATTCTCTTGTACTAGTTACCTATTCAAAGAACAATTAAATAACATATCTTAATAATTTATACTGATCCAAACTTTCGTCATTGTATATCTGTTAAATGTTGATCTTTAGTTATTATCTACTGATTAGTAAGAAACGGATTAAAAGCGTCAAATATATATTAAAAATTCAAACAAAAATATGTTAAAATTAAGTAGGTATATGTTATATGTATTATGTATATAATATGTATTCATTTTAATTATTAAAAAAAAGGTATTCCGTTGTCTTCATTATAAGTTCTTTATAGTTATGATCGTTTACATAATATGTTTGTAAGTAACTCCTAACTATTGTTGTTTTTACTTTTGGTATTTTTAAGTTACTAAATAAAAACCGGCACGATTTTACACATAATTTTATACACAATGAACGCATGAATGTACGACACTGGCTGATTGGTTTCCGTTGATTACTTGAACTATATAGGTTTATATGACATGAATTCATCTATATTAATATAATCTATATATATATATGTGTGTTGGATATGGGTATTTTATAATTTATTGATATTATGTGGCTATGGTCGTAAAAATGTAAAACAAAACCAATATATGTGCTAAAAATAAAAATATGCACTATAAAACTAAAAATACCTATGTATTAAGATATGCAAATTAAACTTAGTGTTATTTTAACAAGAATGATCGAAATTGGAAACCGTTCTCACTAGATTTCTGAAAGTTCATTCCAATACATATTGTAAATAACATTTGCATATAAGCCCGTTCCCTGCTCATTAGTGTAAAATGTAAATATATATTTTATTGTCATATATTCACGTTTCCAAACAAACATTTCTGAAGAAATGTCAAACTGTACACACCCGTAAACTTATGACGGCACATATTATTATGATTCACATGCTTTATTTAAATCTATTCAACAATTTTTTTGGTCATCTTTTGGTCATTGTTGAAATATTTTTTATAATTTGTTACAAGTGTATTTTTAGAAGTAAACTATACATCGATTTTTTTTTTAAAATTCCATTTAACTTGCTATTCACGACAAATATTATTACTCCAAAGTTTAGTTAAAAAGTTTATTTATAAAAATTATAACAAATAATGACATAAATAAACAATAATATACACTCGTAATGATATTATACATAACATATTCTCAAAAATTTGTAAAAAAATAATATTGAGTAAAATCTAAGAAATAAATAGTTTATCAGGAATTAACTTTATTGTACAATTATGTGTAAAAATGAGAATATCTTAAACTTAAATAAATTAACATAACGTGTTACTATACATTTTACAAGATAAAAAATTAAAAATATCATGTTTGAATAAAAATAAATAGGTAAATAGGTATTGTTTAATGATATTATACTGTAGTTCATATTATACATAAATAAAATCGTTTTTAATCTAGCCAAATATGAATAAAAAAAACGATTTTAAATATTCGTATCTTTGTTTTTCATGCGTTGTTAGTCTTAACACGGAATCATTCTAAACGATAGGCCGGCTTCCAAAGCTATTAATTTCGGTGGACATAGTTTTAGTCTAAAAAAAAAATAAGAATATTAATAACCTTGGCATGATATTATTATGTAGGTACAATGTACATAGTGAAATTTGCAATAAATTATCTGTGTTATTAGTTTTATACATTTTCATACACACAAATGTTCTACAGACTACAGTGTTTGATTTTGTATCGCCTGTCGAATAAATTCTATGTAAGTATTAATAATTAAAAAAGGTAAACATATTCTTAAGTCTATTATTTATTTCCTGCCTAAAAAATGAATTTACTTATATTAAATAGCATGATGAAAATTAAGATTTCAAGTTTTAAAATAAGTATTTATATATTTAAATAGTTTAATACATTTTCACTCAACATTTTTAAGAACCATTAAAACAGCGATTTAGATTAATTAATTTGTACTAATAAATTATTACAATTGTTTTTTTTTTTTTAATAGATACAATATTAGTTTTTAAAATCATATTTTAAAATTATTGAATTGAATTAAAAATTATTGACTGTAAGAATTACAGTTGATACACTGTATGGTAACATATATATTATATATATAAATTATCATTAATTGTATATAGTTATCAGTATAGGTATCAGTTTATTTTTAATGTACAATTAAAACAAATATAGGTCAGCGAAATGCGATTCTTTGATATATTTGTCAGAATATAATATTCTAATGATAAATATTTTGCTTAAAAAAGTAAAACAAACAGCAATTTTTTAAATACTATACACATAAATGATATGAAGTTTAATTTCTGAATAGCGGGCACTCTTGGTCACTGACATTTTGTCCGTTATTTGGAGGTATTCGCTATTCAGATAGGGTAAATTTTTGAAATTCATAAAGGAATTCGAAGTATATATTTTTAAATTTCAAAAACGCACCTTGCTAATTTTTTTAAAATTTCTATATGGGATTTTTCTCAGTTATAATATTAATAGTAATAATAATAATGTTTATATTGGTAGTGAGTTAACATACTTTTGGCCAATATTGAATGTTTCGATAGTCAACGATTCGACATAAATGACCGGCGCTTCGAATCTCCAGGTTAGTATGTTCATTGTGGTCGAGTGGTTCCAAACCAACAGTACTGATTTGATGGTACCCACATAATTAGATCCAAATACTCGACGATGTACACTTCCTGGTTTATAATGTTGCTCTCTGTTTTCGAGTGTAGAATCATAATTATTAATTAAAATGTTTTTACCATCAGTGGGGATTTTTTTTTTTTTTTTTGGTAAGGAAGGTTGAAAAAAGTGTATAGGTTATCCATGTATTATAAATATAATATAAAAATATACTTATGTGGTTAGAAAAACTACAAAGAAAACACTCACTTGAATACGTTCAAAAGTTTTGACTTGGAATCGGTTCCTTCGAGCTGCACTAAAAAATGCCCTACTTCACCACCATGGTCTTTGCTTAATTGCGAATTTGCCAAATTCAATGTTACTTTGTACAAATACGCTAAAATATAAATATGAATAATTACACATTTTCTTAAATTTTTAGTATAAATCACCAGTAGTTATGCCGCATCGAGAATAAAAAGTAATTGTATTTTGATAACTATACTTGGTTATAAATTTAATTTATTGCCGATAAATGTAAGTTAAAGAGTTTTTTTTTTTTAATACATTCATTTGAAAAATACTATAGTAAGAGTTTTTAAATTAGAACTTTTTCTTAAAATCTAGAAACAGAGTATTATTGTTGGTAATTATTAATTTATCAAAGATCATATTGTCAGGACCTAACTGAAGTTTATTATGTATATATTATGTAACATGTAAGTACCTGTTATTTAAAATTAATGAAAAAAAAAGCTAAGTAAATTTTTAACATTAATACTTACTGCAAAATGGTGAGTCTCCGTTGGTAAGTGAGTATAAACGTATATGTGGTGATGTATTAGGATCAAGAGAACTGGCAATGGTAGGAGCATATTTTTTCCAATGGCCCAACGATCGCATACCCATTTCTGCACAGATTTTACCATCAGGGTTCTTAAACATTAATTAATTAGATGAAAATATGTTTTATAATATTATTATTAATAACATGCCATATACATACAGTATCGCTCAAACACGAAAAACATTCACCATTTAAGAATTCTTCATAAGAATCGCATTCTATTGCTACAAAGTTGCAAACTGTGTTTATAGATTCGTTGAAATATTCGTGTGCTCTGACATGATCGCAGGCTAGAAATCTTCTCATACCTTGGTAGAAACTACCGTTTTCACGGTTAATATACTTCATCATACCCTGATTACATCCGGGTTGATTTTCACCTCCATTTGGATAAAAATCTAAGTGTCCTATTGGTACACTCATTCCCAGACCTACATCAAGCAACGAATTAACATGACACATAATTATTATTAGAAGTATACATAAAATAGTATTAAATAATAACAAAAAGATAATTAAAATGTTATTTTACAGAATATTGTAATTTGTAACAATAATGTATAATATAATAATGGACATTGTACCTAATTCGCCTCCTTTAATAAATGGCCTGGAATCGGTGTGTATTATATCCACATACATAGCGTCCGAAGGATCTAACCTCACCATCGGGTCGGTCTGGCTGAAATGAGGCTCAGCCGGGTCTAGACCAGTAATTCGACCCACTGTGACGCCAAAGTTCGTTTGCAACACACTTCCTACATAACCACAAAGATGTGATCCTAAACTGTGACCGATTAGATGAACGTTAGCAACATTTAATCCGAGTTCTGTCTATACATAAAAATATAATAACGTATAATATACTGTAGTATATTTATTAAATAGTATAATATACAAAGGTGGTTAATGTGAAACCGAAGTTTTTAATCGAATTTAAATATGAATGAGGTTATTAATTATTACATTTTATCCATTTTAAACAGATAATTAAATTTTTATCTTTTTTCATCGAATGAAATGTTCTAAATGATTAGATCGGTCGATAAAATTTAGTTATTTGAATTAATTCAAAACGATTATAACTGATTGTGGAAAACCTTTGTATATTACTGTAGTAGAATATAAAATTAAAGGTAATATGGTTTTTTTTAATACAATCCCAAAAAAGCGACGATAAGGAGAAAAAATTTCAAATATTATTTTGCGCATATTATATATATTCATGTTTTATCGAAACTCAAATTAATAAATGTTTTATAAATATAAATTTCAATTATTGCGTAAACAATAGGTGTTAATGTACTATAACTCTAGTAGATGGCTACCTAAAACTTTAAACTTATAAATTTAAATGATAACTAATAGGTATACAAGCGTACTAGGAACGAGTAATATTAATTTTTCGTCGGATGTTTTAGATGCATCACAACCGGCCCTTCCGAATTATATAAAATACTTATAAAATTTGATTTTTATATTTTGTATATTTTGTATAATTGTATTGTACTGCGTGCTTAATACTCGTAGTTTAATATTATACAACGTTATATACTTATAAAGTTGCTATTCTCTCGTCTTCTCTGAATGATGGATACTCTATCATAGATATCCAGAAGGCATTTGCTTTGCATCCTCTCGATTTTTAATATCAAGCACAGGACATAGTAATATTTTTTATTACATATCTGGTATAAATATTGAAGCTTAGCACTTTATCCTCATGAATAATTAAAATATTAGTATGAGACTTATATTATATTAAATTTACCAAGTCCATAAATTATACATAACTTATTATAATATACAAAATATTTATCTATACATAAGTATATAAACTTTACTCACTCGAATCACGTTTATAAGGTGTGCTGTTATCCTGCCCACCATCCGTATGTTGGCTACAGCCTGTGTATATGGTGACCCAGAGCCCTGTTCCCAGTCGATGATAATTACGTTGGCGTCGTACCGTCGCAGGATTTGCCGAGAAATTTCCTTTAACCACGGTCGATCACCACCTTCCAGAAACCCATGTGTAATAAAGTATGTGGGCAAAGTCGGGATCACGTTAGACATGATCACAGAATTGCGGTCCTTGTGGTTCAGGTACTGGCACACGTTCCGATTGTTACGTGTGTACAGGCAGTACCGCGGCGCGATCTTTTCTGGTTGTTCCGGAAACAGGTTCACGGGTCTGGAGGAAACATCCTGCCATGGACCGGCCACTGAGAAACAACCATATTCGCCATAACACTTGACCTCCACGTCTGCAACAAGATCAAGACACAGTCATGATGTAAATATTCTTATTATTTATTATAAATTTAGGACTCAGAAATTGTTGTATTTGCATGTTTATTGAAGTTTATGTAAACTAGGTTAGGTTAGGTATTTTGTGATTTTTAATTTTAAAGGCACATTTTTTAATTTCATATTTTTTCAGAGTATATTAATTGATTATGATCAATGATAATCAAAATTTATTAATTAATAATGTATATACAGGATGATTTTTTATTTCCGAATATTCATTATTTCAACATCTATCAATGTTATTGAAAATATTTTTCTTACATTATTTCCAGTTGAAATAAAATAATTTTTTTTTTTAAATAACTATATTTTTTTATCTTTTTAATTGTTTAAATTTTTTATTTTTTTGATCAATAACATAGGTACGTTTTTAAATTCATATCCTGATGCAAAATGATTTTCGAAGTACGAGATCAAAATTTTGCAGGGTATCTCTGTACCACTTCACTTCGTAAACCAAAATATTTAATTTAAAATGACAGGTACCCGTGACTAAAAGATGTAATTTATGATTTGTTTTTAAATCGAATAACTATAGGTACATTATTCAATTTATATCAATAACATATAAAATATTATATTTTCTCTGAAATACTAATAATGTTGTATTTGGATACTTTAGGCGATTCAACCGATTCAAATTCTTATAATGATTAATATTGCTAAGTTTTTGATATAGAAAAGTACTGTTTACTTTAATATTGTGACTTTTTAGTAAGTTAGTTGATACTATTCAATAGCCCGGGAAAATTTTAGTCTAAAATCTATGCGTTAAAAATGAAAGATGGCGTTAATTATATTCGATATTCAAAATATATGAACTAATTGTGCTTAATTTTTGGTTTTTAAATAATTCCATAGACTATTATTAAAAAAATTCGTTTGAATACATTTTTTTTAGATCAAATCTACGTTAATGGTTTAGTTAACAGTAATAATTTGTTATTCTGATAGACGACAGTTATGACTTTCGATATTTGATGCTAAATTTCATTAAAATATGTGTATGTAGCATAAAAATAATTACAGCATAATTTAAATTAATTAAATGGTAGAGTTAAAAGTTGTATATTTTGTTATTATACTTAAATTAGTCAATTAAACTTTGTATGTGTATGCTATACGACACATTAATATTACTAATAAGTATTAACAATAATTATTATCAATTTCATAATCAATAAAAACCGGCATGCTACACTGTGGACTCTGAGTCGCATCAACACGTGGTAAATATAGTTTTCGCAACTAGTATTATATACTTCGCACATTAATTTATATAGGTCCACAGTTTATGATAACATCACAATATTTATCGAAATAACATTGCAAAATGCATTGTAACATAATACATAACAATTATTATTATCAATGTTATTGGGCTTTAAAAAATGTGTTTTTAATTCCTCAATGTTTTATATAATAACTATTTAGACCTAGTATACTTTGAAATATTAAATTATGTACGGTTATATTTGCAATATCTAATAATATCCAAAATGTTGCCGTTTGGAGTTGACGAAGTGTCAAAAATCGTAATTTGACCAATTTAACTATATACAAAGCTAGTTCAATTCGATGGAAATGAAATCGGAAGACTAAGATAGATATAATAATATGAGTAATTGTGCTGTTAAAACGGATTATAGCTTAGCAAGTAGAAATGTTTAGTTATAAATTATAATATTTGATTCACTTATACAATTACGCATGTGCCTACTACAATATGAATAAAATTGTGTTCTGGACGCGTACCCCGTTGCATTGGCTGAAAAAAAGCTATTTCTTTTATACTCGTAAATATTGAAATAGTAATGATATGTTCTCCATAATGTATTCTATGTATTTTTTGGCGTAGTCTCGGATGATAATTTAACAGAAAAACAAGATAGTCAAGATACTCAAAGCTATTGTAGATATTGGAAAGGTGGATGTGGATGTAGCGATTATATAAAATAATACCTATATCATATAATTTCAACGTTACAGTCGATAAAAGTGACCAAAGGTATAGGTGTAGTTGCAATGTATATCGTGAAACTGTGAAAGTAATGAATTATTATAATATTCAATATTGTATAATATATTCTAAATGGAATTCGTTTTATCTATGAATGATGATAATTACTATATATCGATATAATGTTAGTTGTAGGTTATAAAGTAGGCAAGTTATTAGTTCACAAGGTAGGTATTTTAAATTTTCGCTGAAGCATTGCGATAGCAGTTCCCGCGGCGGCGTCGATTTAAACTAGGAAAAAGAAAAAAGAGGTATTTTAAATTTAATGATGTGATACTGTTAATATGGTAAACGCTATAACGGCTTTTAGAATAGAATCGAAACTAATTTTAGATTATAGGAGTACTCACTGTCGCCTTCCAAAATTACGTTGTTCGCGTCCGCGGTGTAGTTCAACGGGAATGTGATATTGTCTGTCTGCGCCAAGTACAGCATGGTCTGCAGCAGTAGATTGCTTGTGTTGTTAAACATGATCACAATGTACGATTTGTGATAGTTAAAAAAAAAAAAAAAACTATGATAAATAGACGGCGAATTTGAAAAGTCCGTAAACGGACGATATCGCGCGTGGATATTACTGATTATTCAGTCGAATTATGTACGCACACAGCTGAGTATTTTAAAATTTTATTCTCACTCGTATCGCGCCCGTAACGCGTGCGCACCGTCGAAATCCCGAAGGAGACAACGCGATTAGTGTATCAGCCGTATATAATGTTTAATATTATGATTGTATGATAAGTAAATATTAAGAGACACTGTTTATCACGACATATGTTATGTTTTCACACACGTGTGGTTGTCGTTTTAAAAACGGTTGTTTGATTTTGACGACGATCAGCTGCACGTGCTGCTTCGGACGCTGCAAGACCTTATATGAACACAATGCGGGTTTCTGTGCGTAGCGCTTCGATTAATAAATACGATTGCGAGCAGCAGTGGCAGATATGAAAATGTATTTTTATGATGTGCAACTGAAGAGCAAAGGTCAGGAAAACGACACTGAAACACTCTAATTTATTATTGTGTACACTCTGTACCTACACTAGCGAGCATACCTGCATATTACGCACATTGAGAGAATTCGATTTATTTTTTATTTTTTTTCTAATAGATAAAGAGTAACGTATTTCCGTACGAAAACGCGACACGCTTGACCAAATACAAAACCATTTAAGATTTAAAACGAACTTAATGATAATAATATTACGTATTTTCGTTTTTATTAAACATCATGCTCGGCGAACGGTGATCAAATGACTGAATCGTGTTTGATCGCAGATGGTTATATTTATACCAAATAAACTTACGAGTATACGTAAACTGCGACAATAATATTATTACTTTTTGTGTACGGCCAATCAATAAATCGCAATCGGTACAGTTGACTCTATATGATTTCTTATTATGCAATATGCAACCCACGGTTAAAAAACCTTCATAATTATTGTGCATGAGAAATAAATATAATTTGTAAAAATTATTTTTCTAAATTTCGGACTTTTTTTTTTTTCATTTGTTTATTTTAATAGATGATTCGGTCATGATTATTTTATATCTAATGATAATATGTCCTATTTACATTACGTGTTTATGTTACCTAATTTTAAGAATGCATCGTGGTTATGCATATAAATAATATAATAAATAATAATTAAATAATAATGAATAATGTTATTAGACTTTGAACGATTGAATGATTCATTCGATTGAACTTGTTGATATTTCATAGGAATTTTACATAATATTGCATTATTTTATCTAAAAAATCTACGTCAGTCACAAATAGGAAACTAAGAAAGAAAACCCAAATTAAAACATTTAGTATTTACCATAAATAACATCAGTTAGACAATATCAGCTTTGTTTAAAACAATTTATGTTAATTCAAAATTGTTATATGTTAATCTTCTTATCTCTATCTAGGTAATTATTGTTATATTATGTTTAATACTTTAATATATTGACACTTTTATTTCGATATACTTTTTATAGAGTTATATTTGTGTTACATTAAATAAATGTATGATCCTCTTTAGTTATTAAGTATTTTTTGATTTAAAAGCGTCATACTATAAGATGTAAAGATAATAAACTCGTATTATTAAAAACATACTTATTTTCTTTAAGTTGCAGCTTATCTTACATTGTCAATTGCTATACTATAGTGTTTGGTGTTAGCTACATACGTATTATAAAAAAGAAATTATTAGTTACGCATTTATAATATATTAATAAAGTTATGAATTAATGCAAAATATCTATGTGTTTTTGATTTTGTGTTATTTTAATATTTGAATATTTGAACACACTATACATATTATACATATCATACAAATATAGCTAATTTGTTAATCAAATTCCATTTATTGAGCTATATGGCGTATATATTAAATTATTTTAAAATATAAATATCAATACATGAAATAATAACAATTTGTTAAATCATTATTATATTATTATGTTTAAAGTATTATTTCAAAAAATTATATCAATTAATAATATGTTTTGACTATTCACGTACTCAAAATTCTATTCGTAAATACGTCATTCATAAATATAGTTTGTCGTCACTTACAGTGTTTACAAGTGATTTAAAATAGTCATGACGTAAAAAGTTTGTTTAGTACAATAATATATAATAGTAATTAGTAGTAATCTAATTCAAATGGAAAAAAATTATATACCTAGTCAGTACTCAATGATCATTATAAGTAAATTTATAAAAATACTACCAAGTAAACAAATTATTTATCTGTCCATCTTCTGTTTTGATTTAAATTTGTTCATAGAATTTTTACTTTTATAAGTAGATAATTGGAAAAAATAGTAAAGTTTGGAATACTCAATGTGTAAAGACAAAATTGGTATCTATTATTATTTACATACTTAAAATTATATATAAACCTGTGTTCTAATTATCGACACCATCGTGAATAGCAATGGTTATGCATTGTATTTTTTACCGATAATTGTTTGTTCATATGTTACAATTTAATTAATATTTATATAAGTAATGCTTTTTTAAAATTTAATGTCGTTCTTCGTATAAAATATAAATACAATACGAGTAAAATGTCTCTTAAAAAAATATAAATACTTTTCATATTGATCATATTAAGCTTCAGCTATACATTAAAGAACTTTCCAGTTATTTTGCAATAATTAAAAATTTCAAAACATCGTATGATATTTATAATGGCAATAAAAAAATAATATGATGGCGTTCAAGTTAACAATAAATAATAAATAAATACATTTAAATTAATATAAATTATAGTGAACAATGTTGATTTTTGCGAAAAACAAATTAGGAATATTTTAGCACGTAGTTTTTTTTCGACAAATCAGCTTAGATTATCGCAGTCCTCGAAATCGTCCAAGTCACCGATGAAAAAGTGTTCGATATCTTGCAGTGATTTGTTTTCGGTCTCGGGCATGCACGCATACAAGTAGAGAGTTCCGATTAATGTAATCGATCCATAAACGGTGAACAGCCCAGGTAGTGTAAGCCATTCTTGCATTTCCAAAAATGATTTCGTCAAAATGAATGTCATCAGAAACGCCAACGCGGCAGTTAGTCCACTTGCGATGCCGCGACCCCTATAGAAACAACATGTTAAATTTAAAATAGTATAATTACTTTTTTTATAACTATCGATTAAGTGTACTATTATATTATAACTAGAAAATGTCTAAACTTACTTTGTTGGATATATTTCACTGACCAACATCCATGGAATAGGAAACACACCGTAACCAGAGAAGAAGAATAAGGCGTTTAACAATATCATTGGTATCCACGTTGACGAAAATGAGAAATAAGTAGTAGAAACCATATACATTCCGATTCCGAGCATTGAAAAAGCACAGAGCGCCATCGAAACCAATGTGATAGGACGTTTGCCGAACTTAGCAACAGTCAACACGTTCAATAGAGTTCCTACTAAGGTTAATATAGAAGTATATACCTAAAAAAATACGATTAATTAACAATATATAATCGTTTAAATGTTGTGTATAAAAAAAAAAAAAGAAAAGAAAAGGGCGCACTATGGTTTGTTAATGTATAAAAAAAAATATATATATAATTTATGAAAAGTTTAAATAATTATTAAACGCAATGACGAATCACAGACCAGTGTCCACTGAGCAGTGCACGGCAAACCGATTTCGCTGAATACAGCTATCAGGTACGGCTTGGCCGGTATGAATGTGGCGAACGACCAGAAGAAAAAAAAGAGCATTATGAATAAAAACGGCCGGTTGAGTTCAGGCGTCCAAAAACTTTTCAGCGTGTCCAGAAAACCAGTTTGATTTTGATTGGCGAGAATGTCGATTTCGGCTGTAAAAAACGTAATTTATAAATATTATAAAATCGCTTTGCACAGGATCTAAAAAAATCATAGACCCTCGAGTATCTTCGACTTCCACCATTTTTCCTACCACGTTTCAGACATACGATGACTTCGCCCCATTATATAATAATATTATCGTCTATGCTTACCATTGGTATTGTCGTTGGTGTTGATCTGCAAGTACTTAACGTACGATAGACGTCGTTGGTCTAGTCCGCAGTCGACGTATTGCTCGAGATCGACAGATTTGTTAAATCCTGCATAAATCGAAAGTTCGGAAAACTCTTCTTCCACGTCGGCCGTGCTCACGCAACCTCTCAGATAGGCCAATGATTTTTTTGCCTCGGTTGGCCTATTCCTCGACAACAGCCATACCGGCGATTCAGGTGTCTATGTAAACAAATAGAAAATATTATACGAGTATCGAGTATAGTGTGCAAGGACAGTAAGGTGACGGAAATGTAATATAATATGATACACAAAGTGAATCATTGATTCAAATACGTATTCACGTTTTCGGGAATAATTTAAAAATATTAAAAATCGACCCCACTCATTTTTACTCAGTATACAACATAGTATCAATGTTTGTATTATTCATTTTAGAAAAAAAAAATTATATTGTTTTTGTAGGTTTTATTTATTTTGTTTAGGTCTACGCCCTACGGGATTTCTCCGTAAAATTACGTTCGTCATGATAATTTTTAGTTTACAAAAATTAAATTTTAAGTTTTAAAATACTGTTACACGGTTTGTAATTTTTACTGATATAATAAACTGCATGAATGCAAAGTAAATACTAAATAGAAATTCTAAAACTTCTATAATGCGATTAAGGTTATTTAAGTTTTTACTTTAGAAAAATGTATAAAATATTAAGTGTGACCAAGTTACTCGTAAAACGATGACCAGTTTGGTGTAATAAACTGGTTTAGTCCTATGTTATTAGTGGTCATCACCTTTTTTTAAATTGGTCGTAAACTATCAATTTTACGATTTTTCTTAAATAAAAAGTTAACTAACTGTTTAAACTTACAATTTATGTATATATATTTACACCGGGTTTTAAATGTATGATTTGATACATTTTGGTCAAGGGTTCAGTTTTTAACGATTCAACAATAATTCTAGTTATTTTTCCTCATACCTATAAATTATCGCCATGTAATATGTTACACGTGTATATCAATATTGTGATAAATAATAATAATAATATTTAGGGATCTGAATTTCACGCATTAGTGTGTTTTTCATGATGGTTATTGGTTATAAAGTATTTTAGGTGAGATATAAATTTATTTGATGAATTTAAACACAAAGTTTGTCTCCGGATATTTTCGTATATTTTGTAATATACTTGTGTATTACATAAACACATACTTAACAAATTTAGTCTTATTTCTTACTTACAATACTGTTTTAAATACTGTTTAATAGTTTAAATGTATATGTTTCATATGCACACTATTGTTTTCCCTATTGTTTTCATATATAGGTACTCTTAGCTGCATGTTTTCGAAAATATATTACCTTTTCTATAATATTTCGATTGTTCCCCCGTACGCGCTCCGAAAATGCTCAGTGCAACAAGTCCTGAACCCCAACACGTAACAATCACGCGAAACGAAAACACATAATTATGTTATAATATAATAAAACATGCTTACCAGGAGCACGACGGCGGCGAACGAGACGACGGGCACGGCCATGTTGATCATGGCGACCGTCCGCCACGGCATGACCGTCGACATGAGGTACGCGACGAAAGAACCGAGCATGATGGTGAACGTGGACACCGACGACAGCGGGCCCCGGAGCCTGGGCTCGACCGTCTCGCCCACGTACGTCAGCACTGGCGCCTCGCTCAGGCCCATGCTCAGGCCCAGGGCCACGCACGACACGTACAGATCGAACGCGTTGCCGGCCCGCCACAGCACGTACCAGCCGATCAGCTGCGGCACGCTCACCAGGGCCATGCACCACTTGCGGCCCACGATCTCCTGCAGCACGCCCGACAGCAGGCCTCCCGTCGGATGGCACACCAACAGCACGCTGCCGTACCACGACGCTTCCGTTTCCGTCAAGGTCATGGCGTCGGCGCCGCCACCGCCGCCGCCGCCGCCGTCGTCGTCCAACATCAGCGACCCGATGACCACCGTCGGTATGGCCAGCGACATGCCGAAGCCCAACATGATCACGTTCTGCACGATGATCGTACCGATCTGCACAGTTCACCAACGATAACGATTTTATTATTATTAGGGTCGCAGTGCGTTTGTAACGAATGCGTTACGTTTTCGTTTCCGTTCTATGGCTTATTGTACGTAAAACGCAGCTTCCAAATAGAATATTATATTATTATATGACAATAGATTCGATTTGGAAACATTTGTTCTACGTTTTTGGGCGATTTCTCTTTTTTATATCATAATAATATTATATCGAGCTGCATTCGTCGAGCGTTTTAAATGCATTCAATTCGTAGCGTCGATAATAACAGTTCGCTTGTGTTCGAGTATTAAACCGTCGAATGCCCAAAGACAATTAGAGTTTTTTTTTTTTTTTTTTGTGAAAGTTTATTAAAGTCAATAGAAATTATTTGATAATGCAAATACCGAAAAAGATCCCAAATAATTTACTTAATACTTTATTTTTAACGTATTGTGCTTTTATAAATCTATTGTTCGTTCGCTTAATGCTCGTTATAACTTAATACGCTATCCGATCTGTTGATTTGTGTTACTGAACCGGCTGTATTACCTACATTTTTTACTCGATTCGTTTTTTTCTTTATAGATTTTTAATTTTCATGATTAATTATACTATCATTTTTTTTTTTTTTTGAGGTTTATTGATATAGTTTATTAAATTTAAACACTGTCAAGAATACTTAAATTATTGTAGTGCAAATAACGTGTGATGCGTATAAAAATCAATACGATTGTTATTGTCATTGTTGTACTTGAATAATAAGTGTTATTAATATATTTTTTTTAATGCCAAATAGTAGCTTTTGCCCTGAGCGATCTCACCCTACAAGGTTATACATCCCGCATATGGCTATTCTTTTCTCATTATTAGAATATTTAGAACAATCACTATAGTATTGCATATCATAATATTATCTTTTGTGTACATATAAATAATGAAATAATTAGAGAAAGCTGGCCAAACAATTATTATTATACTAAATTAATTCTGAAATGTAGACAAGAACAAAGTAATGGATGACTGTTCAGTTTAATTGATGCTGTGGACTGAGGGTAAACTTTCGTTCTTTGAAAATCTCTAATATCATTATGTTTATCAAGATTGTCAAAATCTTTAGGTGATGCTTATTTTATCGATATTAAGATTAATTAAAACATAATTATTTCGTCCTTAAAATCGAATAAAATATTTTTAGTTTTATTTTTTATGACCTTATGGATTTACGATTACTACTATATACAAACACGGTCATTAATCATACTATCATACTACAACAAACCAATTAATTGCCATTGAAATACTTAATAATGATTTTTTTTTTTTTATTCTTGTGCGTTTATTTTTTTCGTGAAATGACGTATAGATTAATATTAGTACCTATATCAATATGTTCATTTGAAATAGGCATTTTGCGTTGACGACTATAATAGTACGCTAGTACGTATGTAGGTACAAACGAATATTAAATAATCAACACGATTGTGTATCAATGGCATTCGCGTATGCGCACACCATGAGGTCGACGTCAATCTAGTTTCTTATTATTTTAATACATCAAAGATCCTTGATAATATGTTTGATGTGAGTTGTTCCGGCTTTCTACTTCAATAACGTTCTTTAATCGTTCAATTTTATGAGTTTGATAAGTTTGAATATTGTAGCAAAAGAACTTACTATTTATAAAAGTTTATTGTCTTAGTTCAAAAATATAATAATTTTTATTTAGAGTAAGGCTGATACTAATTTTAAATTTTAGTGAAATTCAAAACTTTTCTCTGATAATTTTTGGATTTATTTGGGAGATTTTATTATTACATTTATTATGACTATTAGGTATCATGAGTCATTGTAGAGCTATAATTATGGTAAATCCATTAAATTCTCCGAGTCCAACTCACAAACTTACATTTTATTTGAAGTTTTAACTTTTAAATAATATAATATGTATACATATGTATAGATACTAAACTGGTAAATATTTTAAACGATTATGTAATACGTTTGTGTTTAAGTTATGTTAATTCGTGCACTATGTGTATTTTATAGATTAAATTAATTGGAAAAACTAATTGGTCGAAAATAAAAATATTTATATTGCTATCTAAATTTGATTGTATTTAATAGTTTTATATAATTGTATAATATTATTGATAATTACGTATAAATATACAGTAAAATTATTTAAAAAAAAAAAAAACACTACTAAAATTATTTAAAAATTTTTTTTCACTTACCTAAATACTGTTAGTGTCATTAAAAACGAACTTCAACAATAGATAATTACTAATATTATACTTTCCACATATTTTTATTAAAATAATTACAAAGCTATAAGACTCATAGTATTTTATTCAAAAATTTTAATAAGTTCAAAATGTATGAATAATATTATAAGAAATAATTCAAAAGTGCATATTTATAGAGTCAATTGGTATATATTGTAAGAAATTGGAAGTTAATTATTTAAAACACAAATAAAAATAAATATATTAATATAGAAATAATGAAAAAAATAATAATCTCAATAATATATAGGAAGATTATATTTTAAAGTAAATAATACAAATAAATAAATTTACTAAGTAACAAATTTAAACTTTTGAACTTAATAAATATTAATTTAAAAGTAACTATTATTTTGTGATGATAAATGAAACATAAAAAGTATATACTTACTAATTGCTTATGTACGGTATATATGCTTTATTTAAATAACTTTCAAATTTAGTTCTTTGTATAAAAGTAATTATATAAATCAATGTAAACACGTTTTTAGTGATATCACTCAGACTTTAGAATGAAAAAAAGTTAGTTCTGAATAAAATTAGTTTAATAGTCATATTATAATAATTATCATAAGGATAACAATCTCAGTTTTCCAAAGTGTACCAGTTAAAATGTATAATTGTTAAAAGAAAAATAAATAATAAATAAGTAAATTACATACTTGAGCTAATGATGATTTAAACAAATTGTACTCCATGTTCCTGACATTTTCTGCGTCTAGTTTTGACGATTTAAGTTCGGCCATCATCGGAATAATAACAAACAATAGTGCAAAATATTATTATTATTCGCGATAATAAATAACGAATTTAACGATCGGATAAAAGCCAAGACACAACGAAAAGAGTAGTTATTTACCACTGCAATGATGTGTACATGGTGCATGTATGTCGTGTATTTGTGTACCCGGTGTTAAGTCGTAACTTACTACGCATACGTTTTGACTCCGTGTCGCAGCACCGAGTGGACGGTCAAGGCGTTTCGGGTGATAGTCAAGGACCGTCGTCGGGATATTTGGTATCTGCTCATGTAATAGACGTTCCACAACAAATAAAAAAAATAAAATAAAAAGTAATAACAAAAAGAGTGAGGAGTTTTTTACCGTATCTGTTACATGGTATCGGTTCTAAGAAAATGTTAACGAGTTCTACTACTTCCTCAAAATTATTTCCGGAATTAAACGTTACACGACTTTATCGCGGATAGGATTTGTTTAATGTCTACAGTTCTACACGTTATGCACTTCTAGCTTAATATGTATTATTTCTAAAACACATGTTTTTGAAATAATATTAGGTTTATATTTGAAAAATAATTTTTTAATTTTTAATTCATTTTTCAATAAATTGTTTTATTTTTTTTTTTTGTTTCTTATTGTCTATATCATGTTACCATATCACTTCTTCAATCATTTTTAGCCTAATAAGCTTAGAATTCTCATACTATTGCTAAGAAAACAGTATTTCTTGAAATAATTAAATATTAAATTATTTTTAATGAGTTTGTTTTCAACCAAAAGTTATGTCTCATGTGTATGTAATGTGGATGCATAGGTAAACCATATAATAAATTATAATTAGATAATACTTGAAATGCAAATATTTTTGTGATGAAACTAATAGTGTTATTTTATAAGTTTGTTACAAAAATTTGAATTCTTAGGTATTCCTTAAATTATAAAAATAAGTACAAACGAGGCAGGATTACAGGATATATTATATTATGCAAGGCGTCGACGTATAAATCATATACTCATAAATTGTCTTATTGATGAAATATTATGTAATTAGATGTACGACTAAGATTATACAGTACTGAGTACTGACTATTAAATATAAAATATAAGTAAAAGGTTAAGTATCAATATAAATGTAACAAACGTGTTAAATGCTGATTATAGTAACAATAAAAATAATTATAATTTTCAAACTAACTAAAGTGAATAAAATTAATGGAAAATTATCATACACATTTACAAATAAAGTACTTATAATCGGTATGTACAACTTATTAAACATATTTCATACTTAAAACAATTTTTAAAATAAGAACGTCTATTATATATAATGTTTTTTTAAACTTCACTAATTATTAAAGTATAACATTGACTAGTCTATACAAAAATAAGTAAAATAATTTATTATACACTTATTACAAATATTACAACAATAATAACAAACAAAAAAATAAAAAGCAATATGAACATTATAAAATTTAACAAAAGAGTTCCAATAATTGTATATCAACTAAAATAAGATAAAAATTATGACTACAAAGTATAATTTATTAAGTGGGCTTTAAACAGAAGGGTTTAAATTTTTTTACAAAATTACTATTTTGTACTATCTATATCTTGTTAAGTATATACTGTACAGTTATTTTATTGATTGTAATTAAAATCAATATTTTAAACATAGATAAAAATTTATAATATTGTAACATTTAAATTATATAATATTTTTTTTAAATGTATCCTACATATTTAGAATAAATCAAAAAAAGTTAAAACCTCGTTCATTTTAAGTCCAAGGTATTTAAATTGGTAATAAGATAAAATATTTTGAAATTTTTGTCATTGAATATTTTAATTTTAAAATAATATAAAAAATAACATATATCATAATATTAAAATATCAAGGAACACAATTATTGTTAGAACAATTTAATAGTATCAATAATTACATTAATATCTAATAGTTGAAACAATTAAAAAAATATCAAGTCTGAACTACATAATATTATGTTGATGTGTCAATACACCATTACATTTTGGTGATTAGTTCACTATAGGAATAATATGATATTATTATTATAATGGTTGATTTTTGTTAGTTTTATTTACATAAATTAATATATGATGCACTGATAAAAAAAATAACTAGATTTGAAACTTATAAACTATTTACTTCACAATACATTATTACGGTCGTCTTATAGAATAATTTTATTCAAAATTAAAGTTTTTTAATTTATTTGAAAAATTCAGATATTTCTTGCAATGTCTTGTTTTCAGTTTCAGGTAGACAGAAATAGAAATAAACACAACCGATCAAACCTCCAAATCCAAATATAGTAAATGTATTGTAGAAATCCACTAAATCAACGACATTTGGATAATACTTGGTCATGAAAAAAGTAAGAATAAAAGACAGCGTTGAACAAATACTACAGGTTATGTTTCTACTCCTGAAACAAGTGTTATATTATTATTTACAGAATATTGATTACTGCGAAATTTCTTTCTTGTTGACATATTTATTACAAGATGTCTTTTTTGTCTATAGATACACATTTAATATTATATATTATAACAATAAATCATTTCAGTATTATATTAACACAGTTATTAATTTATTTGTTTTATAAACTGTGTATGCTATTTACATAAACAATTGTATTACAATTTATTATTATAATCTTTAGAGTAGGTAAATATTACTTTTAAAATGTTATTGATACGTAGATTTACACGAGAATTGTTTATTTTTCTTAGTTTTAAGTACTTGCCAATTATGATTTAATTTTATATTAATAAAAACAGATTAATTATGGCGATGTACTATTATTGTTAAATCGTATCTATGTGTTAAATTTAAAGTGGCATTTGCTTTGTACTCACTTTATGGGGAATATTTCAGTAAGAAGTATCCATCCAATAGGCATTATGCCGAACGATGCTACGAACGTACTAATAAAGAAAAATACTAGTAATAACCAAGATTTTATTTGGCTTGAATCCGTCCAATAAGCACCAATCAACCCAATCGATATATAACAAATAGAACAAATTGATAACGTCGTTAAAGTGAGGAATCGTTTTCCAAGTTTGTTCACCAAGAAAATAGTTAATATTCCTCCAACTATAGCTATACACAACGAGAAAGCCTATTTAATAAATAAATACAATTAATAAATACACTAAATAATGTAAATAAACGGACAGATATCAATTACAATTTTTTTAAATGCGAATAATAATGTATAACTTGGTTCTTGAGTTACTTACTACGGTCCATTGAACGTCAACGTTGGCGCCAAATGTTAAAAATACTTCCACAAGATACGGTCCAAATGGAACTCCAGATAATAAATTTGAAAAAAAGAAATATATCAGCAATAATCGAAAAGGTCTAAGAACATCGGGCTGAAACAGTTGTTTCCAAGAACTGTCCGAATCATTTTTGCCGTTTTTATTATCTGTATCGAACGACAAAAGTAATAATTATTAAAAAATTATTATGAACAACACGCGCTAGTAGTTTAGTGCGGATAAAAAAAAAAAAAAAAATAAATAAATAAATGAATGAATAAATAAATAAAATTACTCGACGAGTTTTTATTTGTTGACACGAACACTACCATTTCATGAAATTCGGCGGAACACTTATCGTGTGTCACCCATCCTCGTAATTTGCCTAGCGTCTGTTGCGCTTTTTCTTTCTTGCCCTTGGACAGTAACCACATCGGAGAATCTGGACTCTGCGTATAAAACAATAATTATTATTGTTGCAATCGATGAGTGGTTTATCTTCGGGCTACGGTTGATGGTATAATATATATGTTATAAACATAATGTATCGCACGGATTTTTCAATAACACTTTTTTGTGTATCCAATACAAAGTCATATTCGAATAAACAGTAGGTACAATGCGTATTCGAATATTTGTTTTTAAGTGTTATGTTTAATAATATTATTAATTTAAATTTTTCTCAACATTCGCATTGTTGTTTCGTATAAATTTTTATTTTTCGATGTTTTATTCAAACGAAATATGTTATTTTTATATGCATGTTTTAAATATACTGTAAAATAATACTTATTCAATACTCCATAATATAAAATATGTTTGTTTATGCAAATTAATTTTTGATAGTGGCGTTTAATTAGTATGTTCAGGTTTTTGGATTTCGGTGTAAGCTATTAAATACAACATTTTTAGGGTTAGATCATTTGTACAGATAATCCGTATAGGTTAGGTAACCTATGTCGCATCTATATCGCGTAATTGTGCATTTCGCGAAATGGTCAAAGTTTATATCCATTTCACGAAATGGAAACACTTTTTTTTCACTTCATGTAATTCTGCTATTTAGATAAAATTTCACAAAATGGATGAGTTTCTGAATTGAAAACACCAACGCGAGTTGGTTAGATATTCAATAAGTAGACGTAAACGTTAGATAGGTATTACGGTGATAATTTTATATTATATTAAAAGATCACTATTGTAAGTAAAAAATATAATTTATATAATCTAAAATACCGGAAATATTATAGAAATAATAGCTACTCTGATTTAAGTATCTTACACGAGGTAATTAATTTCACACAGAGCACTGCAATTCATAATATAGTTTTGATATATCTATACATATAATTATAAATGTCACGCTAAATGTTTGTCTACATGACGGAACTAGTTCCGTTATGTGTAGCTTATGCATCCATTTCACGAAATGTTGTCCGTATAGCGGAATTACGCGAATTGGAAAAAAAGCATTTCTATTTCGCGAAACGCGCACAATTACGTGATATGGACGCGACACACAGACATTTTAAACGTTTATAAACTTTTATTATCTGTGGTTAGAGTTTATATAATACAATGAATTTTTCAGGAAAATGAAAAAATATGAAAACACGTTTACAAACACGTAATCTACCTATTTGAATAATAATTCATCTGAAACGAGTCTAAAGTTTTGGTATCGATTATTTTACCTACCTCGGTATAACCGCTCATCTATATTTTACAAGAGTACACACAGGAATGGCGTGTACACGTACCGTCATAACTCATAATATATAATTACCTACCACGCACAAAATCGCAATGGTTATGACCGGTATCGCCATGTTGATGAGCACGGTCAACCTCCAACGTCTGGTGATGGCGTAAATGGTGGTGAACAGCAGCGAACCGCAGAAGAAGAACACGTTCGTGGCCGACATCAGGGCGCCCCTGAGCTTCGGTTCGCACACTTCGCCGATGTACGCGGAAAACGGGCCGCCCGAGAAGCCCACGCCCAAACCCATAATTATCGAACACGCGTACATGGTCTCCACATTTTCAGCGTAGAAAAACATGATCTGAGACACCAGGTACGGTATATTGGTGATTATCATGCAGTTCTTGTGGCCGAGTCGATCCAGCATCAGCGACGAGATTATGCTGCCCACAGGCGTGCACAGATACAGTAGACTTCCTGCGATGGACACACGCGCGGTCAATGTTGGGTAGATGATGGTTAGAGTGGTTAGATATGTAATGCCTACTGAAGCGGTTTCGTCCTCCTTGTCGCCAAAAACGAGAGTTTCGACGCATTTTCCTCGCACCGTTAAGTTATTTATTATTATTATTATTTTTTTTTTTTTTTATGTAAAATATTTTTTAAATATGGCTTAGGAAAATTATCACACTAATCGCCTATTGTTAGATTTTTCTCACAGAACTGAATAAATAAATAAAATTGTTGTATTTGTGTTTTTCTTTTAAAGTTGTTTGCTATTTATTACGACATTACAGACATTCAAATTATATCAGGTAAATGTGCGTAAAAATTTAAACCACTTTAGTTTCTATGAAATATTTGAACACAGACGTGCGTGTTGAAAAATGTTGGCAAGATGAGGTAGATATCAATTGCATTCGGAGCATTCGTTTGTTTTAGGTGTGAGTATCTAGATATAGTAAACTAAGTAGTAAATAAATATATTCATACTCACCGAACCAAGACATCTGTTCAATGGACATAGTTAGCCATTCATTTTCATTTGAACGGTTTGATAATGCTCCTATGATGACTGTTGAACAAATCAGTTGTGTGCCGACTCCGACTTGTAAGAATCCAGCTCCAACTAATGCTAAACACTGTAATAAAAATCAATACTGATAACGGAATTTATTTTTTAAAATAAATAATAGAAATAGTATAATACTTTTTGTATGTTAAATCATCCAAGTTATATTTTTTAAGTATACTCAAACAATTTAAAAATATTGTTAGAAATTGTTTTTACTCAAATAGTTAAGTAAAATATGAATAGTATTTTTTTTTTTTTTTTAATAATTAAAAATTAAACTATCTGTAAAGCATAGTTTAGTTTAATTTATAGTAATAAAAATAACTTACTTGAGAAAAAGTGGATTTAATACCGTATTTATAGTTACTATTAGACTCCATTCCATGGACTATATTTCTTTTGTTTTCGATGAATTAAAACTACAGAAAAAACATGAAAGAATAACTTATTATTATAACAATTTTAAAATAATAGTTATTGTAAAAATATTTCTTTAATCTAATAATTTTTAGTCAATTTTATTATTTGATCTATAATTTGGGTAATAAAGTTAATTACCCTTAATATTTAATTTTATGCTATTTAAATACGTTTTATTATCTATTTTTATAAGACTATAAAATGTTTCTATGAGAGTTAAAAATGTAAATTAGAAATATAAAATAATATTATCTTAGATAGATCACTCTTCTGCTTAAACGTAGTCCTGATAGCAGTCATAGGGTTTATGTAGGTACCTACATAATGATATTTTCTTATAAAGAAGCAATAATAAAATGAATGTAGGATTCTTTTAATATACAAAGATAGCTTGTTTAAATACCACTTTAGAGTGTTTCTAATAATCTTATATTTATTATTTTAGCTCTTACTACTAAAATTGTTATTGTCCTATATTAATTTATAGCAATAAATAATTCATTTTGTAGGTCAGAAATATAAATATCATCGAGATAAAAGTTATGTAGTGTACATTAATATAATGCTTTTTTTTTTAAACATCTAAATACAATAAAATATTATAAAAATCACCCTCTTCAAATATAGGTATCTTATATTTTTATAATTTTTCTTTAATCTCAATATTGAATAATATGTATTTCATAATTATTGCTTTTTAGTTTTGGATAAATATTTTGTTATTTGAATAGTTAATGTTATATTTTAAGAGGACGTTACCCCGCTATGTTGTCTTTAATTCATACATAAACAACGGAACAAATTTGAGTTCAACAGTTTCAATTTTATGTTCTTAGACTTAATATTAGAATAAATTAACTTATTATTAAACTTAAGATAAAGAACAGTTGATTTGTACAATATAAATATATTTAAGCGAGTTAATAGTATTAACTATACTATATCTTGTTTAAAAATTAATAGATCATAAAAACCAATAGAAGTTGATTGAGAATTGTGTTCTTATCATTAAGTTTGATAGTAAATCAAAATCAATTTATTCAAATATTTAAGCTATAAACATGAAATTGAACTACTGAGTGTAAGTTATGGAATGTTTTGCATCAATAAAATAGAGAATACACTTTTGTATGTCGTACTCATGCATGACGTCCTCTCAATAAAATATATTGAATTAATAAAGTAAAATAGTAAGTTTACCATTATTCAACTAACCTTGTATATTTCTATGTTCCGCCACAATTTTAAAACTAAATAAATAGCTTTATGTGAATTCCATTCTTTGACAGCTGATATATTTCTAGCTATAAAAAAAAAATTAATATTAATACAATTATTTGTAGTATTGAACAACCTAAGTAGTTATCTTAATAGAATTTTGTTACAGAAAATGAATCGATAAATTTAATTTAATAGTGAATCTATTCATTTACAATTCGTAAAAGATACTAATTTATTATCATAATATAATCTAAAATATATTTTAATATATTGCATCTAATTGCTATACCTTACTAAACTAAATACCTGGCAGGTAAAAAATGTTGAAGGTTTTAAGCGACGTTCTCGTACGATTTTAAACTAGGAAAATAATATTTATTTGCGATTTTGCCACTTCTTGAATTATTAATTATTATACTCTGATATTGTAGTTGTATGTTTTATGACTAACACTAACTATACCATTAACTAAATTATGATTAAAACAATTACCACGTCCAAATCACATGTAGTAAAATTATAATATTTTTAATAATTTGTAACGTTATCAATCTTATTCAGAGGAATCTCTAGAAAAATAATCATCTCATCTTTATTTGAGTGAGATAATTTAAGTATTTGATAGAGATTTTGGAGTTCATTAACACAATTGAATTATATTTATTTAAAATACATGTTAATGTGAACACACGATGTTATCAGTTTTCATACATTTTTATTTTTAAATCAGCAATAAGTATTGATATTTTCTAAGAATTACCTATATAGATTAAAGACATCATTTATTAATTGCTTTTGGTTTTTTTTATTTAAATCATGTTGTCTTTTAATTTTACTTGTTACATTATATAATATGTAAAAGAAAATTAACATTTTAGTAAGTGCTATATTATGTTACATTTTGTTACTTACATTTTTAGATTTTAATTATACTTAATATATCCTTAATATTCAATTTTAAAATACGAAACATTTCTTTATGTATTTCTATTATCATGTATAAGTAGATAGGTATTTATTGTATAAATTCAAATTAATATGTAATCAATGCGGTTACCATTTATACGTACTATGTACAATGTGCATGAATATAATTAGCTTTATGTAAGTTTGATTAACGGTTACAAATTATTAACTAAATCTACATTAAATCAATGCGTAATTTAATAATTTCATACCTTGTATTTCTACCTATTGTACCAGGTACATATTGTTTAAATGTACGTTTGTAAATAAATACCATTAAAGTATGATAATAGTTTAAATAACTAATTTTAACTTAAATAAATAATTTTAGATTAAATTATATACATACATACGTATATTGTTATTAAATTATTATACTTAAATATTTGGCACAATACAAATAATAGTTTATAGTTTTAAAATTTTTGTTAGTAATTATGTCTTCTAAATTAAAATACGATTTCAGTTTCAAGACATGTAATAGCATAAACAATATTGTTTTAAGAGTAACTTTTTTTTTAAATTAATCAATTAAAGTAACTTAAATTAATATAGTTACTGTTAGGATTATTGTTTTTATTAAAAAAATATTCTAAATTTTAATTTTTTTTTTTTTTTAAATTTTTTTAGTTATAAATCCGTAGATTTATACATTATATAACATCAATAATTATTACGCGTATAAAGTATTTAATTGATACATTATTTGAAAACTCACCTAATATCCATTCAACTCCATAAGTAATCTTAGAAGATATGCAAACGTGAACCATTCAACTTCCTCTGATTTAATAGTGCGTAGATCATTTTACAATTGAGTGTTTCTTCTATTAAATTGAGTTTAATCTTATCATCTAATATTAGAATATAACTATAATGATTAGTTGTAGGCTCCCCATTGATAACCAATCAGTAATGCGTGAATTATAAATATGTTATTCGTGTTTTTTTAACTACAACATTTTTAACATAAATTATAGTATAAAGAGTAGAGGGTGTATTAATTTAAAAGATATAAAATGTTAAATAAAATAAAATCGTAAAAAGTTTTTACTGGGGTTTTTTTTTTTTTTTTAGTTTTCTATCAAATATTTTGAATTTAATGAAAATAATTTTAAATTTTGTAATTTAAATAAATTACTGAAACTTAATTTTTAGATTAAATAATACGACTAAATTACAAAATAAATTTTTTAATAGATAATTATTTTATAGTATCTACTGATGCATTCACATAAATGGTAAAGTAATCAAGCATTTGGAACGTATTGTTAAGATTCTGAATCGAGAACAAACAAATTAGTATGAAAACGATAGATATTTTGAAACTACGATTTATACTGAAATTTATCTGTTAAGGTCATAAATAAAATTGAACTACAACAGTTAAGCATAAAAATAAGTCTTAAATATTAATATATTGTTTTATTTTAATATTGTAACTAAAAAATATATATATGACGTATTTACGAAACAATATCTATTAATTAAAAATTATTTAATTTTCATCAACATATTTTTAACAATTTATTTGTGCGTAGTGACTTATTTCTTTAAAATAATCGTAATAAACTTAATGTTTATAATTTATTATGATTTGCGTAAATAAGGTAAATTGTAGGCATAATACTATATCAATGATAATATTACTCTGACGTATAGTATGATTCTGCGTCAGAATGTATTTAATAGATTGTATGGATTATAAAATATGATGAAAAATAAATTTGTATTATTTAAAAAAAAAACACGTAACTATAGATACATTTGTTTAGCTTCGAAATTAAGTTAAACACCAATCACAGCATTTTCAAATCAATTTAAAATCGACATCATAATTTATGTGTAGATTCGTACCTATCACCTATTTTAAATACGTGTATTGTACTATAATTATTGTAGTGATTTGATTAAAATAAAGTTACGATTAAAATGATTGTAAACGATTGCTAAAAACATCTATACATTCATTATTAATATCAACTGATCGAAATAAGGTGTATTATGAAACAGACTTAATCAAAATTAATTATATTCCATTTATAAAACAGTTTATAGGTACATTCATTCATATAAGAATATAATTTTTAATTTATTTATCTAATTCATTCTTTAAAATTAATAAAATGGAACACGCAAATTTCAGATAAGAATGTATACATAGGTATATGAATACAATTATCAGTTATACAAGGTGATTTTTTAGAAGAAAATTTTCATTGTCTGAGATGTTGTCAAAAATTTTAGAAATATTTTTGTTACATAATTTTTAGTCATTTAAAAATAATATTTTTTACTCTTTTTTAACGGTATTGTTTTACTTTTTACTTTTTTGAATGTAAACATACTTGTTTATTTTATATTCCTAAATAGAATATTTTTCTAAGAATTCTAATTAATAAATTAGAGTAATTAATTATTTACTAGTTATACATTCTTAAAGTTAAGATAGTTTAGATGAGTTGTAAAATACGTACCTTGCATTATTTTGGTTCATTACTCTGCTTATATAAACTTATAATGCTTATAACTAATTTACTTCAAGGTATATAAAAATTAGGTACTACCAATAACATAAATACTTTTCTAGAAAAATAGTTTACTTTTAAAATAATCACCTTGTATTATTATGCTCTAAGGTTTTAAATCTTATTATACCTATTTAATAATATGAACTGACGATTAAAATTGTATTTGAATTATAATATTTATATGCATTTTTATTTATTTCTATCTATATTATTTGTATTATGGAAGTGAAAAATGCGGTCTTAAACTTAATAAAATAGATTTTATGTTGATAAAATAATAAATCGGTTAGCCTCTCAATATTAAATTGCTTGGACATTTGATTCGTCGAATCCGTAAATATATAATATTTAAAAAAATTGTATTAATTGTAGTTTTGATCTCGGGCACTTATTTATTTTATATTTTATTTTTAATCTACTGTCATTAATGTAATTAAATTAAAATAGCACATAATGATTTACTCAACAAATTTAAGTGTCTCTTTTCGGGTTGCGTAATCAAACATTAAATTTGAATGAATTAATAGTAAGTTAATTGTCTCTTAAACATGATTTAGTAGCCCACGATTGATCTATTACATTTTAGTAAATTATAATATACTATTAAATTTTTATGTAATTTGATACTAAAGTACTTATAAATAATTATTATTTATATCGTATCATGTATATTTTTAATCTTCTATTATTCATTTTTTTTTTTTTTTGTAATTCATAGATATTAAGTTTTTCTAAATTGCTGCCAAAAATTCTTTAAAAAAAATTATACCTATATATAAATATAATATATGAAAATCAATTTGATTACAATATAGAGGGATTTTATAAATATCATAATATATGCTGTACTTTAATCATTAAGCAACATACAATTTTAAGTGTCGAATTGGTACGAACGTCTGTTTAAATTCATGGACAACAATTTCCTATAGCAGACTAAATTTTTAAAACGGTTGTGTCAAAATAATATTTTTTTTTGCAACATATTGTGTAATAATAATATAATCTCTTCTATTAATCACGACCGTAATTATTACGAATAAAATGTAAAAAAATGTAATTAATAAAATGTGAACCATTTTCATGTTTTAAGAATTCAAAAAATGAACTATGGCGAGAGTGTTTAATGTTTTTGATTTATTTAATGATGAGTGAAAATTGACGATGACCCGACCCGACAGAAAAACATCTGACCAAGGTTTAATATTATGAAGGTGGGTACAAACACGTATAGTGTTGTGCGTATTGTAAATAATAATAATATTTTAATAGGTAGGTATAGTGAATGTCGACAATGACGTACGACGTATAAACCACCACGGCCCGCCGCCAACTCCTTCCATCGGGCAAACGGACCACATGGTCCAGTGACCACTTATTCAGTATAGTTCGGTAATAATAATAAACAACTGCTGTAGTGTGATTATATTAAACACATATTATGCAATATAATTCTACCGCCTAAAGCGCCTGTGCACAGTTTGTTGTTACGCTATCGTTCAGACGGTCAGCTGTTTATATGGCGCCGTTCAGAAAAATCGAACTTACAATGAGTGAGCACTATACTATATAACAGTTTTTGGTTTTTTTCATTGTTGTTTGTTTCTTTATGCATAAACGTTTTAAACGACTGTTTTTATTCTACGCGGCACGCGCACATAGAACATTATGTACGCGGTTAAAAGCAACAACGTTTTAGTGCTATGCGTTTCGGTTCTGATATCCTCGACGTGTCCCGCTGTAGTTGTTGCAATGTACAATGATTATGCAGTTGTACACGGACACATGGGAAACAAATCCAATTCAAAAACTTTGAGACTGGTCCACGCGGTGCGTAAGCTAATAATAATAATTCTATATAACTATGATAATATTATCTTACTAGCTGTGATGTTTGCATCTGTTAAAAAAATATAAACGTGAAAACTCATTTTGAAATCGTTTACAGGTGTTTAGGCACGGAGAACGGACGCCTGCCGACACGTATCCTCTAGATCCATACACAAATTCTTCGTGGGAGCCATTCGGGTGGGGTCAACTGACAAATGCAAGTGAACATTATTATTGTATTTTTTAAAATCTTAAGAATATTAACGATGTTGTTATGATTAGCACGATCGTTTTTTGTTGATCAATTTTGGTATATTCGATTGACGCAGCTGAGTAGAGATTATTATTACATGTATGAATGGGAAAAGTGGAAAGACGACAGATTTGAGAGGATCTTTATAATTTTATGTTATTCCTTGTGATATCATAGTATTAAGCTCACTAGAGTAGTTAATTTCGGTTACATTTTATAAAGATCGATTTTTTTTTTTTTAGTTTTCTCATACGATAGTGAAAATTGTTTACTAACACCAGTAACATTTTAATATGTATTGTGAGTAAACTATAGTAAAAATTTATTTAGTCATATTTTCCAAATGATCTAACAAAATTTTTAAGTATTTAACAATAATAATAAGTTCTTTATTATATAACACAATAAGGTATATATATATTTTGGTATGATGTATTATCATATCGCAATAACAAATATAGACTAAGACTACCTATATAAATTATTTATTGAAATAGTTAATAATTTATTTTTAATGTTTATAATTTATAACCAATAATTCATAGATATTGCGTTATCAATGTTATCATATTCAAATATTTTCAAAAAATTTTATTAGGCATTAAATTTATATTTTACTAAAATAATACATATGTTTAATTAGATGATCGACATAATAAAATAAAAGTTTATAGGCAAATGATAATAGTTATTAATAATTGATTTTTTAAAAAAGAACAACAAAATAATAGATTAAAAATATTATAGTTACGTATACACTTTGCACATTAGTTATTTTAATATTTATTTATTTAATGTTTTTATAACAAACGTTGTAACTTGTAGCAAACTAATAGATAATAATAAAAATAATGTAATTTTTTATTATATACTATACATGTATAATATATAAATAGCCATTAACTATGCTTAAATAATTGATTGATCCTCATTAGCTGTAAGCATCATTCCAATAATTTGTTGATCCTTACATAAATAGAATTGCATTTAGATATAAACAATCAGTATGTAACTGTGTGCGATAGGAAGATATGGAAGAATGGAACTTTGGTTTACTTGAGACAGTATAATATTGAAGAGTCAATAATGATTAGACACCAGTTAGACATTCGAGAAAGGTTAAATTAGCGTCTAGCCTTCTATAAACTAATATAATTAAATCAAACCGGTTCATAACTGGAAAATAATCATAAAGATATCTATAACAATGTTTATATTATTTAAACACTGCAAACTTTGCTAAACACACCAAGTTTATACTTACCACATAAAGTTTATAGGACCCCACACTACAGCTCCATACTTAAAAAAAAATGCTTCGTAAGTGCAATATAAACATTTTATAGTAGTTCATTATTTTAACGTATACGTATTCTTCTTAGAAAACAAAACATTTTAGTGTCTTATACAACTAATTAACCTAAATTAGAGTAAAAATTCAACTCACGATCAAACAAGATACAAAAATCACTAAGTTATTACTTACCTTATCGTCCAATGATAATTTAAGATTTCCATAGATTAAGTTAAGTACTAAATAGTTAAAATTTTGTTAAGTGTAATAGACGATAAAGTATGACATTTTGAAAAATTAATTTCTAATCCATGTTCATTGGCCCAGTTCAGTAAATATTGAGATAATTTTTTTGATAAATAATTGTCTCTTAATAAACTATAATTTTAGATCGCCATAAATAGAATAAATAAACAAAAATTAACGATTTAATTTTAATATTTTCAATAATTTAGGAATACAATAAATATATTAGTAAATATAATGTGAGATTTAAATAAATTATAAAAACAATGTTTCTTAGGTTATGAACTACACTATATTATTTTATGATTCATAAACTTGTTTATAAAGCAGATCATTGAATGGCCATGAATTAATTCACAATCATTTTTTAGTTAATAAACAAGAAAATATGAAAAAAAAATCAACATTTTTAATATTTTAATCATAAATATAAAATATATAATTTATTTTTATGATACAAAATTTCTTAAAACTTTAATATATTTTTTTTAAATAGGTAGATATTGCTTTTAAAATTGAAAACTAAAGGTGAACATAGTACTTGATTATTTTCGATCGAATTACCCATTAGGTGTGTGTGACGGGATAAAAAATGTCTCAATCGTTAGGTTTTAATAAAAATTATCTGAACCACTTATAAATTCGGCGCAACACGATTGTGCCCGATTTACCTTTTTCCGTTCAAAAAACGCAAGACGATTTGCGAATATATATCAGTGTTTCTGAATTGCGTACGAGTATCATTATTTAGGATGAATACAATTTATTAATTTTTAGTGCATATTTTTGTTATTAGTTTATATTTTTACGCATTTTTAATTTTTATTTAAATAATAAATTATGAAATATCGTCAAAATAAACAAAGTTGCAAAACTTGCCAGCATATAATAAAGTAGACTAAAAAAAAGTTGCAAATATACAAATAATTGTGTGTAGCAATACATTAAAATAATACAAAAAATTTGATTAAAAAATAATTAATAAATAAACAAATGATTTAAAAATAGATTTATAAAAAGTTAACAATAAATTGACAACAAAATATTATCTCAATTATTCAAGTTCATGTACTTAAATCCTGGTTATACATATTGGGAAACTAAGTTTAAGGAAAACCAAGTCCGATTTTTAAATAGTGTATTGGAAAATTGTTAATATATGTATATGTTATGTAATATATAATATATATATTAGGGACACACACACACATACACATATATATATATATATATTGGAGCGCAATCGTGTTGCGTTTTGTGCACGTAAAAAGATAAAAAGTGCTCGATCGTGCTAATTGATTGGGCTCAATCGTGTTACGTTTTTTGAATGAAAAAAAGTAAGCCGGGCGCAATCGTGTTACAGCCTTATAAATTATACTATATATAAATAATACAGTGTGTGTATTATGTATTTGTTGTTTTGTCAGAGAGAGAAAAAAGATACCAAATCATTCAAATTAATAATTTAGTATTGAAACAAAAACACTCGTGGTACTGAATTATCCTTAATTTTATAATTATTTTTAATTTAATTGAACAAGTAAAATTTAAATTATAAATGCATAATTATAAAATTAAATATTTTTGTGAATAATTTTTAGAATGGTAAACGCAAACAATACGAGCTCGGAAAATTTATCCGAAAGCGTTATTCTGGATTTTTGGATGTTCTTTACTCTTCGAAAAAAGTTACATTTAGAAGTACTGACGTTGATAGGACCAAAATGAGCGCTCAGCTAGTTGCGTCTGCCATGTACAAGCCAGTTGGTGTACAGAAATGGAATAAATATTTAGATTGGCAACCTATTCCGATACATTCTGAACCTCTGAATGACGACCGAGTAATATTTTAGTATTAAATTTGCTTAATTAATTTCTGCGTTTCTACTGTTAGTAGTACACATATGTGTGTGCTACAGTTGTTGTTAGTGCGAATAGACTGTCCCAAGTACCACGAAGAAAGACAAAAAGTAATGAGTTCCGCCGAAGTTGTCGAAGAGCTTAATACTTATAGTGACTTATATGGTTATCTGTCCAATCATACTGGACTGGCTATTGAAGATCCTGACGATGTACAATCGATTTATAGTACGCTAAAAGCTGAGGTAAGTACCTACTTAATAGATATATTTTGGAATTATACTTTACATGTTAACACAATATTATAAATTTTGGGTTATTGTACTTATGGTTCTTAAATTATAAAATATAAGTCTAATTTATTAATGATATTTATTTTTCTACTCAAGGCAGACTATGGTGTTGCCCTCCCAAGTTGGACATCCAAAGTATATCCAACGAAATTGGCTAAAGTGACATCTAGAAGTTTTATACTAAACGCATACAATAATGAAATGAAAAAGCTCAAGGGAGGTATGTTTGTATAACTATAGATAAAATATACAAAAAATATGTTGAATCAGACTTTTTAAGGTCCGTTATTAAAACAAATACTGGAAAACAGTAAAAATAAAATAAATCAACTATCTACACATCAATTATATGCTTATGCTGGTCACGATTCAACTATATCTAATCTTTTAATTGCTTTGGGTATTTGGGATGAGCAAATACCTACGTATAATATGTTAGCATTACTTGAGTTACATGAATCAAAGAGAGGAAATTTCTACTTTAAGGTATTTAATGAAATTAATTAAATTTTTTATTCTTATCTATGTTTAATAGCAAATTTTTGTGTTTGAATATCACATACATTTATTTTCATATTGTCTAGGTGTTTTTGCGTAACGAATCGTCGACAGAGCCTTATCACTTACAAATACCCAATTGTAAAGACGATTTATGTACTGTGGAACATATCATGAACTTAACTGTGAACGTTATACCATCAAATTTGAGTGAAGAGTGTAAGACTGATAATCCCAAATTTTCGAGCTTAACATTTATTGATCGTGGTCCATAAAATCACAATTAGAATAGATTAATTTATAATATTACACATTCTTGAAAAATTTAATAAGAATTACCAGCTAAAATATTAAATATGTGATAACTTTTTTTTTCATTTGTTCTATTTAAACAAAAATGATATTTATTTTTATTGTTCGAGAAGAGGAATTAATATACCTATAATTTGAATGGAGGTTTACAAGTTTGCCTTTTGATAATTATACTTTACGTTTGCACTTAATGACTGTCTTTATATGAAATAATCTCAATTTTATAATGTATACACAAAAAAAAAAAATAATCTTCTTTTAGAAGTTATTTTTATCGTTATTTAAAATAACAACAACATATGCTAAAAATCTAAAATAAGAGTATCGTATCCGTATGTGTGCGAAATTTTATAGTGATTGTTATGTATTTTAAGAATTCAAGTTGAGCAAATTTTTTAAGTCTTCAGTATTATATTATGCACGATTATAATATTTATTATTTTTATACATTATGTTTAATTATTAGTTTTTATCGACTGAACACACATTAGATATATCAATAAATAAACTATTTTTGATATTACTTGTTGAGATATTTTATCCATTTAATTTAATTTTTAAAATCTACGTGAGCATAATAGCACAAATAAATAAAACTATCCAATTAATCGTTTAATTCAATAACTACAACTCATAATATTTAAGTGAGCTTTAGTGAAACTGTAGAAAAAAATCAGCATTTAAATTCAAAGTATCTTTTATTCCGAATTTATAATTTTTGTTTAGTATAGTATAACAGCAATAAAAAGTTCTTACCTTGCCTAGCATGTGTTTAAGTTGAGAGTTCGATGACCATTGGTTTGCTCCACGAAGGTTCCAATACAGTTCCACGACAATTATTATGAAAATGCGAACAACTAATCCAAGTAGTTGTGTATTATTTATAGAACCGTTGAATACAATTAAACGTGTATTTTCATATAGCTAGTTTTTTCATTAAACATAATATTGACCCACTTATTATTTACGTAAAATATTAAAATAATATCGATCTCGTTTGAAAAAATATTTTTATTTTTTTGTGTGCGACTGTAAAAGCAGTTATTTGTAACTTTTTTGTTGTTCTATTTCAATGACTTGATATGAGTGAAAAAAGTGGTGTACAGTATGACGTACGGCTTTGTTTATTTTTTAGTTGCTTCCTATGGTATGAAAATGACCATCAACCCACTTGTAAGCCACTCGTTTTTATTGGGCATTTGTAGTACAGAAAAAAAATCTGTTGAACTATAAATTAGTATGACTCGCCCTAACCGATTCATTGAATATATTATGAAATAGTTTGTCTCCAACCTCATTATTGGAAATTGCGTGTTCGACTGATTTTAATATAGTTATGGCTTCTTATGTATATATAATCATCCGCCTGATAGTTTTTAATTGCATTTTAGTTTCTTCACTAATATTGGTGTTTTGTCGTGTGTAATTTTATTCAATGTGTCTAAAATTTTATTGTTAAGTCATATATGTAATGAAGAGAAAAGTAAATATTGTATTTGTGTGAATATACATACTCGCCACTGTTAGATTTCCATTCAATACAAAATTATTTTAGTTTGATAAAAATAATAGGTGACAATCAAAATTATTTAAAATATAAAAGTACACTTTTTTTTTTTGATATTTATTTATTTACATTTTTTGTACAAAAAACTTGTGAAATGTAAATAAAATTTATAAACAGTAACATATAAATATATAATTATACTAAACAATGAATAACTCTTATATTATGGCATGGATAAATCTAGATAAATAAATTATATTTTAGAAATGTTTAGAAAGACATTAAAGTGTTTAAGATTTAAATTATTGATTTTACAAAATGATTTTATATTAAGCATGACGAATACTATTATTTTAGTTTATAATACTATATTAGTTAGTAACAATAAATACGTCTTCAAAGATAATACTAACGATTGAGACCAAAGTATTAAATAATACTATAATAATACTAATAATTACATGAATAATAAATAATAATAAACATTTAGGTATTTTCAGAAAATATGCGTTGGACACAATATAATATAAATATTGCTTACATAAAAGTATGTAGGTAATTATTCATTTATGCGCTAAATTAAATATTTATTTTTTTCCAGTCATATATTATGTTAACAAGATATTTGATGAACACATATTATTAGTTATAACTGGGTATAATGAATAAATAATAACTTAATTAATACAAACTGTATTACTGTGGTTTATTAAGAATTCAATTTAATTTAAACGTTAGGCCTAGACCACTCAAGTGTAAATACCAACAGTGCAGAAATCACGATCTCTTACAAGAAACATAAATGTAATTAGTTCGGATATAGCGTTATCAAGTCTCTTGTAGCTTGCTTTTATTTTCAACTACCTTCCTTGTTGAGTTTATTGATGCAGTACATTTCATTCGTAATTAAATCATAATAATAAACATTCTATTTAAAAAATTCAGATATTTCTTGTAATGTTTTATTTTCAGTTTCTGGTAGATAAAAATAGAAATATACAGTACCAACTAAACCCGAAATTCCAAATAAAGTAAAAGTATTGTAAAAGTTCACAAAATTGGACAATTCAAGATAATACTTGATCATGAAAAAAGATATTAAGTAACCCATTGATGCACCTACGCTACAGGTTATGTTTCTGCTCCTGAAATTGATTAAAAAAAATGAAATATTTTGAATTAAAACCAAATCAAATAAAAATAATATTTTTTTGTTTTGTACACTTACTTCATTGGAAATATTTCGGTTAGAAGTACCCATGCAATAGGCATTATCCCAAGCGATGATGCGAAAGTAGTAGTTAGAAAGAGTATTAATACCAACCAAGAAGTAGTAGGTTTTGAGTTAGTCCAATACACACCGATTACTCCGATTAATATGTAACAAATTGAGCAAATTGATAACGTCGAAAACGTAAGGAATCGTTTGCCGAGTTTACTTATCAAAAATATTGTCATAATTCCACCAATTGTTGATAAAAACACCGAAAACGCCTATAACATTGTAAATAATCAAAATATGTTATAAAAATAATAAATATATATCAGTAAAATGACATATGGTTTTCATGTTTCTTTAATACTTGTATTTTAAATAATATAGGTACTTAATGTTACTTACTAATGTAAACTCGATGTTAACGGGTGCGCCAAATTCATTAAATACTGATACTAAATATGGCCCGTACTGTATTCCAGACAATAAATTCGCAAAAAAGATGTAAACTAGCAATAGACGGAACGGTCTGTAAACTTCAGGCTGAAGGAGTTGTCCCCAAGAACTTGTTTCATCATTCTGATCTAGAAAACAATAATATAAATATACTTAATACATATCTGTATAATTTAGTATCTCAAATGAAAAAAAAAAAAATCAAAAATTATTAATTTTTCTTAAGATGAATAAAATTACTTTTTTGATACTGAATCATCTCAGCTTTAATACGTATTTAACGAGCATTAGTTAAACTTATGAACTTAAGTACTTAACACATTTATTATATTGCTTATGCGAATAACCCGACTGCCTGTTTTAAATATTTGCATATATAGTTATCTCGTCCTGGTTTTTAAACTATATAGGTACCTATAATAATATAATAAAGAGATACCTACCTGTCTCAATGTCGTCGTTGTCGTGTATCACAGAAGACGTATAAGCTATCATTTCTCTGAACTCTTTGCTTGCACACGTTTCTTGCGACGGCCATCCCCTTAATTTTGCAAGCGTCCGCTGTGCCTTTAAAGATTCACCTTTGGTCAACAACCACATTGGAGATTGTGGCGTCTAAAATGTAAGATTAAATGCTTATAAACAATATAATTATTATTCGGTGAGGTGAAAAATAATAATTTTTCTCATAAAAAAAAATTGTTGAAGATATATTTCTAAACGTGTTTATTTGGTTCTATATCATGATATACGTATAACCACTAATGAAAATTAAAATCTAAATTTTTCAAAACTAGTGGTAAAAACACATTTTTTTTTGCATGGAATCAAAAGGAACCTAGTATTTAGATCACATCAATCACAATCATAATATTATATTAGTAAGTCGTAATATTATTAAATATTCATCTAACCATAAACAATAAAGCGACGGTCGCGATTGGGATCGACATGCCAATGAGCACGGTCAGCCTCCATTCCAATGTTATCGCGTATATCAACGTGAACAGCAACGAGCCAACATAGTAGAAGACGTTCGTCGCTGACATGAGCGTGCCCCTCAGTTTGGGCTCACACACTTCACCGATGTAGGCGGAAGACGGGCCGCCTGAGTATCCGACGCTAAGCCCCATCAGCATTGAACAAGCATATAACGTCTCGACGCTGTTGGCGTAGAAGAATATGATCTGCGACGCTATGAACGGTATATTGGTTATTATCATGCACGTTTTGTGACCGAACCAGCCCAACGTTAACGAAGATAGTGCGCTGCCCAATGGTGTAAACAAGAACAGAAGACTACCTGAAAAGATACCGAGCGTGAGTGAGTGGGTACTACGTGTTTTAAATGTAATGCGCGAGACGGGATTAGTTGCGGAAGACGTGTACAATTGCGATGGCAAGACTTTTGGGATGGTATACTTTAAAAAAAATATATAGCTAGTATTTTCATATAATTATTAAATTTGTATAATATTTACATTAATACACATCTTAGTTATTCACCGTTATCATGATATACCTACATTTATTTTGTAATCACTAGAAATTAAATACTTACAACGTATAAGTTGTAGGAATTGCATATTGTTTTGTACCTATGCTCTTAATTTATAGCAGACCAGTTAGAAATCTGAACTGTATAACGGAGAGTTAAAAAATTGAAAATTGAAAATACATATTTTGTAATTTAGCTAAAAAAAGTGCATATTTCATTGATTGATTTTATACGTATATTATGCATATTTCATATTTTTCTAAAAATATTGATTTTTTCTTCATAATCTGTATAATTCAATTAATATTGTATATAAAACTCAAAATTTTCAACAAATTTATCGTAATTTCAAAAATGCTGAAAAAATATTTTTAATTATATTTTTAGCTCAATAAGATGTCAAAATTCCGACCAGTGATAAATTTGTTTCAATTATAAACAAATTTTATGCATATTATTATTTTATTAATTTATTAACATCTGATGTATTTTTTTTTTTACAATTCAGAATAATTATTTTGCACATTTATCATCATTTTAATGCATATTTTGCCTTTTTTAACTCCTACAACTTCCGAGCCCTATCCATTACTAATATTTTATATTTAATATCGTTAAATATGATATAAAATATATTTAATATCATGTATTAATTACTATTGCTTTATGAAATTTTGTAAAAAACAGTTTATTTTTCAGAATTAATTTGTTTTTATTTATAAATTTGATTTTTTATGTCGAAAATTGATACTAACACAGAGAAGGGTGAGAAAAAAATTAGCACCAAATATTCTGAATACGTTTTTGAGTAATTGGTTTTCGAGTACTCTATTAACTATAGCTATCTAGTGTAGATACGTCGGTTAACCAAAATTATAATATATATGGTTTAGCGTTAATCCTTGAGTGGTTTTAATTATATACAATTTTATCATATTATGAAATAAAATTGATGTTATATAAACATACTAAATACTACACTTTATTAAATCCCATTATATACTATAAATCCGCTAAATATTAATGAACGAAGCATAATCATTACGTGACTATTTCACTGAGATTTAAGTTGGATTTTATAAACGTTTTATTATATTATAGACATATTTAAATATATTAATACAATAAACGAAATGACGTTAATCCACAATAATAATTAATACTTCACATTTATACACGATTCTAAAAATCAGCATATTATAGCGTGTTAGTATGTGATTTTTTCGCAGAGATTTAACTTAAGTTTTAAAAATGTATTAAAGTGCACTCATATTATAATATTACACAAATACAATTTGTTTTATTACACCGTGACGATCTTAGTAGTACACTGCAGCATAATAACTGTCCGCCCTAAAAAAGAACTTATAAATAATATAGATGACATTATGTGCATCTAACATCTTCTCGTAATTATCGGAAAATCAGTGAAATGTTCCATCGAACAGTATATGTAGAAATTGAAAATATTGGTATAAGACTTGTTCTGTCGGAATTTCGTTATATTACATTAGGTCAATCGTTTCTTTATATGCACTCGGAGACAACGATGCGAAAATGACTCAATTGAGATTCAAATGGTACGAGTTTACAGTAGAAACGTAGTAATTAACAGCTTGACTAATTAATAACAGAAAATATCACCGTTACCTTTTAGTGTATATACCGCAACCAATGTGAGAATTACGATCGATGTATTTATACCAAGATCTGGGTGATAGAATTTGCATCAGTTCATAAAGTTTAAGTTAAATAGAGCTTTCATTACACCGTTTCTTATAAACTCGAATACATTCAAATTTTAGGTGCCTAACGTGTTACTTAAATTTCGAAAATAATACGACACGGTGTAGTGAAAATCCAGTTTTAAAGTTAGTCTGTGAGTAATCTCGAGCGGATAACTATGATATATTTTTTTTTAATAATTCGTTAAATGAAAAGGTAATCACCGACCGTTTTTTCTTGTCATTATCGTTGCCCGTTTGTAAATATTTTCGAGTCTCCATTCATTACTGCGTAAGGTTTGTTAATATTCCAGTGAAATGAGTCCTTATATATAAATACGAGTATATACGAGCCTCATCACTTTCGGTTTTATGAAACACGTCTACCCGTTTGCAAGAATTTCAGGTTTAGGGTTGCGTGTAAAAGTAAAACTTATAAAGACCAACCACTGATTTATTATATTATTCACATTTCACTGACGTTTTGTACTAAGATCGACCTTCTAACTATTATCATGAATTTATTGTTATTAAACACAATGTAATAGACATGTTAAATTCAAATAATTTCGTATAAGAATAGGTCGTCTTACCAAACCAAGACGCTTGTTCATCCGTTAAGGGTTGCAAACCACTGTTGTTCTTATCGTTCGCTAAGGCTCCAATAATTATTGTAGAACATGTGAGTTCTATACCGATCCCAATCTGTATGAAACACGGTCCAGCCAATGCCAAACTCTGCAATACAATACAATGGTGAGTTTAATGTTGAAATGCCATCATTAAAAGTTACATCTACATTCTACATAATAATTATACATAGTAATATTAAAACGGGTTGTATTTTTTTCGTATCAACTATAATGTACATATTATTTACTCGCAAGTTATTAGTGAAGTCCACAAATAAGTGCACTCGTTTTAAATATTAGTACATATATATATATATTTTTAATACGGCAAGAATGAAAACACTAGTTATACGAGTAGTATACCCAGAATACATTTATATCTTTGACTTTAATGTGAATAGTAAATTATTATTAGATTTTGTGTGATATTATAACAAATTTATGCGGCCAATAAACCGTACACTTTCTTCCTGGAAAACAGCATAGCATAAATAAATTTAATACACATATTTAATTAGAAGGTGTTTTATGTAACTTACATAAAATAATCGTCAGTGTAATGGTAATTTCATTTCAATGTATATTTTAGAAATATATTACTGATTATGAAGAATCATAACCCATTTGTACCACTTTTAAGTACTTTTTAAATTATTATTTTTTCCAAGATGTTACGGTATCTACTACCTATATAACATTAAACGTTTTCAAAGTTCAAATTTGTTTTTTTCTCATACTTGGAAATATATATTAAATCATTAAACCATATACAAAGTTAAATGAAGTTACAATAGTCAAAATATTAAAATCAGTGTTTTAATATACGTAAATCAAAATATAACTTAGTACCATAAGTACTGTTAGTCAACATATTAAAAAAAAAATTATTGGCTTATGTATTAATATTTATTAATAACACGAGTATACGATTTTGTCGGATCAACGTTATACAAGTGGTATAATAATCCTATTATACATGGAATTGATACTGTAAGTAAATACGTTTTGTAAGATATAAATAAGAGTTATCATTTTTTAAATGTTAAGCACAAATAACAATATATCTGTCTAACTTAAAAAAATCGTATGAATCTAAATAAAAATTACAACCATATAATAACATCACTATATAAATTAATTGCGTCTTAGTTATTCATCTTTTATAAATGTTTAAAAGATAACTTACTTGAGCGAAAATGGATTTAAAGCTGTATTCATAGTTAATATTTGACTCCATTTCTTTTTTTAGATTAGTCATATTTTGATTTTTCTGTAAAATAAATTTGATAGAATAATTTTTTTTAGTAATATCAGCTAATTAAACCTTATAATCATTGATATTTTAATATTCATTTAAATGAAAAAAAAACAATAAAATGCTTATTTAAATAAAAAAAGAAAATTTAAACTATAACTATATAAGTAAAAAAAAAAAAAAAAATAAATAGCTGATGCTCCCTAAAAGAAAAAATTATAAACACATTTAAAACAATAATCTTTTTAAACTATAAATTAATTGAAACTACTGTTTCCAATTTAATCTATGAAACGAAAATTTTATATTTCCAGATACAAGGTATAACCAATATAAACCAATATTGTGATTCCATCACAGCTTTCTTATACCTTAATTACATTTTTCTCTTTATATGATAAGATAGTATACTAAAACAAGTGTTGTTACTGCTTTTAAAATTATGTGTTTTTTTTAGATAATGCACACATATTTAAAATCTACATTCATTATAAAAATTCCAATATATAAATTTATGTTTTAATACTCCACAAATAGATTAATAATTTATTTTAATCCTTATATTTTTAAAATATATGTGGTTTTTTAGAAATATTTTAACAAAATGACTAAAATAAAGATTCGTCTTTAATATTTTCTTTCAGTAGAGGCATAGGTTATTAAAATATAAAATAATTCATTTAAAAAATCCGATGGATATTATATTAAATTAAATATAAATTAGAAAAATGAACGATCTAATGAGTAATTATGTATTGTATATATTTTCTAAGTACCTAAATTCTTTAACTTTGGCATAATTAAGTGAAGTCTAAAAAATGTTTTTCATCATATAAATAATAAGAATCTTCAAGTAATTAATTTTATTCTTATTTTATTATTCGTAAAAAGAAATAAAATAACTATTAATTAAAATGCAGTAACTAATTATGAGACTAAAATGTATAACATATAAAATAATATTCATATTTACCCTTTTACTTATAATTAATGTTTTTCTTTTAAAAGCAATAAAAAACAATTAATTAATTAATTAATTAATCATATTGATTTTAAATGAACACTATAAAATACAAAAAATATTATACTTTCAAATTTTTAATTTTTGGAATATTTATAAGAAAATATTATCGTCAAACAAAAATGTATTCCTATAAGTTTATTCTTTTATGTAATTGCTCTAGTTTATGTGCATGTGATTATCACTCAATTCACACTAAACAGGTACACGTTTTTTCACAGTAATTATTATTAAGTGTTTTAGAAGGTAAAATCTTATCGTAATATTTATAATATTTTAAATGTTATATTTGTTAATTAGATTAATATCGTTAAAATTATATTTTTGATATTCGAGTATCTATTGTTGATGCCTCATTTAATTTTAAAATTGTGTAAAATAAATACTAAATTGCAACATATGTATTATTGATTAAAATCAGTTATGAAATTGTAATGATTTAGAAAGTCAAGGTTAATGAAGGGGTAATATTTATCAGGGGTTATTGACTATACACCTTTAGATCAATTATAAATCATTACATTACCTTTCTTCTCTTGGCAATGACTTCTTTGTTAATGCTGTTGTGAATAAGGTGACTAGTGCACGTTGAATAATTATAAGACTTTTTTCATTTAAATACACTTATTATTTTTATTATAAATTTTCTTTAATACATGAACTATTTAATACATTTGACTTTAACATAAATTTATTTTAACACTTACGTCTTTTTGTATATCTGATCTGCTTAGTCTTTTACACTCACTTATGATCATTTACACAAAAAGACGGGAAGAGCACTATACCTGGACCGGCCCTCTTATATCGGATGTCCTGTGTGTGTGTTTGATCCGACTATAGGTAATTTTATTGTTTTACATGATTATATTAATAGATGACTTATAGCTAAAGGTTATACAGTAATTAAATATTTGATTTTTGTCATATTGATAAATTACTTATAGCTAAAGGTCATAATTATTTATTTTATTATATAAATATTTAATTATGATTGCTTGGAGCACATCATTACAAAATTCTATCGAGTTATATAAAAATAGTATCTTATTTATACTGCAGTAGGTAGCAAATTTTGTTTTCGTATTTAACGTTTTAGAAATACAAAAATAAACAAATATGCGTCTCAATTAAAAACAACTATTTAAGATACATTTTATTAATTATTGAACGTTATACTAATTATGTTAATGTCTATAACTTAACATATACTATACAATATTATGCTTTGTCTTTATGTACACACACATAGCAAACATTATGTTATAAATAAAATGTTTCTTAAGAAAATAATAAGTTATTTTTATTCACTATATTTACCCATCTATTTAATTATTTAATTAATGTCAGTTAATCCAGAAACTAAAAAAAAAAAAAAATGTTGAAGTAAAAGTGAATTTTAAAACGACAAGTAAAATATCTAAGTTAATATAATACAAATATAATATATATACTTGCAACATTAATAATATTTTGAAATAAACCACCTAATAATGTAATATATAAATCATTGATTATGAACTCAAGTCTATTTGTTTATAAGCACAATAGTAATTAATATTTATAAAAACCAATGAAAAAAAAACCGTGATAAAAGCCAACTTAAATATACAAGAATTATATAGATCACTTTATTGATATTTAATATTTAAATTATTGTATAATTTCCGCTGTCAACTAGCAAACCATCCTAATCCACTTATTGCTGAACTTAACTTACCTAATATCCACGGAAATCCACGGAAATCCACTAAAAAGGCGCTGGTGTCATAACCTTGCTCATTAAATTAAAGAAATTATTATATATATATATGTATAATATTGTCTAATTACAACATTTTGTGTATATGAGTGTTACTGTTGAGTGACTCCACTCTCCACGTATTCATGTCTTATAGTTTATATATTATATATAATTTTTTTTGCACATAATATGCTTATTGTAAAAACCATTAAAGATTGTAAATAATCTAATAAATATTAAAAAAAAAAAAAAAAAATTGTATAAATTGTCCATTGATAATTTTTATTATCATCTACTGAGATTATGTGGTGCATTTAAGCTAATTTAAAGTGATAAATCACATTAATGGTAACATTAAAAGCTTAAAAGAATTTGTACCTCTTACCAGCATTTCGGGTAACTCAAAAAATATTAATTTCATAAAGAACTGTTTAACCTGCCAACATTTTAAGTTTATTTTAATATGGTTCTTAATTTTTATAGAATTATTCATTTAAAAATTTTTGGGTTTTAAAATGCATTCACTTCACACATACTATGCACCAAGTTTAAGTATGTATGAATACATTTTATTATCCACTAGTCACTACCATATGAGTTATTCTCAACTCTTAGCTTTATAAACCAGCTTGTTAAAAAAAATAAGAGTCTTATGAGTTAATATTAGGGTCTGAATTTCCGACTCTAACGGTTCCAACTCATTTATCTTAATTATTATGAAAGGGGTGTTTAATCACATTTTTAGGTGCATGATAGCTGCCACTACATAAAGATAAATTTATAATAATAGCAATGCGATTTAAAATTATACCGGATTACATTTATGTATTTTTACGAAAAAAATTTACTAAAATAAAGTAAAAACTATTTTTTTTTAATTACCTAATCATAATTAGTAAGTTTTAGATGACTAAATTATAAATTATTTACACATTGTAAAGAGCATAAGTTTGTTAATATTATCTATGTCTTGTACAATATTAGAGGAAAACATAAAATTGAGTTAGCGTGTACAGTTATTTGCAGATTTTAACAACAACGATTATAGATATATAAAATTTTAAATTTTCCATTTCAAAAGCAGTGTCAAACTCTCCACTAGAAACGTTTTTATGTCTAAAATGTACAATGCTATATTTTGCTATTATAGTAATACGTAATTATTTATAGGTATATAGTGTTTATAAGTTATTAGAGGTTATTTTAAGCACTCGGCCAACATTTGCTATATAATGTATGAGCTTTCCGGAATCTTATAAAATTTAACTTAACTATCACAAATTAATAATATTTTGATAATTTTATCGTAATTAAAAAACGAAAATATAAACATTTAACAAAAAATTTAAGTATCTATAATTATTCATTTTTGAGTTACACAAAAAAAAGTAAAATTTATTCTGTCATAAATTGGATTAGTTCAAGATTCCTATTTTCCTTAATATTTTATTTGTTTTTCCCAAAAAAAAATATTAGACAAATTTAATTCAAGCACGAACTAGATCCAATTTGATATCCAAAACCATCCCCATTATTTGAAATCAAAGTATTAATCATCAAACTTATAATGTACTCTTCTACAAAAAAAGTAAAAAATATCATGATAAAATCAATAAATTTATGAACTAAAAAAATATTCTGTATATTTGAATGTTAAAATCTATTAAAAAAATCAATAATTTTTTGTAATATTTTATTTTTTGGTTTCTGGCAAACAAAAATATATACAGCCAAATAAACCAAAAATACCATTTATAGTAAATACGTTATAAAAGTCCACTAAATTAGAATAATCTAGATAATATTTTGTCATAAAGAAGGTGATTACATAAAATGATGCTGTATTAATGTTACATAAAATGTATCTACATCTGAAATCAAAATAAAAAATGTAATATATTTTAAAGATTGATAATAAAAAACTAAACTAAATAAAATTTAAATTAAATATTTTCTAAATAATATTACTTAATACTAGACATTTTAAATTGTCAATACTTAAATAAAAATTGAATTACCTAATTTTAAGTAGTAGCGCAATTTGTATAGTACCTATTGTAAACTTAGACATTCATACAAAAATTATAGTTCAATTAAATAAAATATTACATGTAAAATAATAGATAAATTGTTAAAGAACGTAATACATAAAAATAATAATAATATAATATTTATAATAACAACTTATACTTAAAACTTTTTAAATAATATTTTGATGATATTTAATTTTAATAATTATCAAGAAAACAATTTATTAAATATTAAAAGTAAAGTTTGGTTATGTTCCATTATAGTTATTATAGTTTTATAAAATACTTAAATAAGCAATTAAATATGCATTGTTATTTATTAAGATTCAATTTAAAAATTCATTAAGGTATACAAATACATTCTTAATAATGGTTTTTTAAATTCTAAGTTATTATTAAGTATAAAACTATTAAATAAAGATAACATTTTATTTAAAATATAAACATTTTAACTTCACTTTGCAGTAAATACTTCAGAAATAAGTATCCATGCAATTGGCGTTATTCCAATTGATGAAATTAAAATTGTAGAAAGAAAAGGTAAAAGTAGGTACTGTCCAAGAGGTTATTAGTTTTGCATTTTTCTAATAAACACAAACTAATCCGATAAGAATATAGCAAATGGAGCAAACCGACAACGTAAATAATGTAAGAAATCATTTGCCTAGGGTACGTATTAGAAAAACTGCCACTAAACTTCTTATTATAGCAAGGAACATTGCAAATGACTGAAAATACAATTAAAATTATTTAAAAATAAATAAATACATTTTAATAATGTTTTCGAGTAAAATCAAAATACAATAAACTCAAATACCATAAACTAAGTAGTTTGTAAATAACTTACTATTTTCCATTCGGCGTTAACAGGTGTAGCAAATTTATTAAGTATTGGTACTAAATATGACATAAATGGTAATACAGACATTAAATTCATGTAGGTAGAAGAAGTATATCATCATTAGATGAAAAGGTCTTAGTATTTCAGGCTCGACAATTTGTTTCCAAATATTTGTATTTTCTTTTTGTGATCTATTAAAAAAATGTAACGACTTGTTAAATTTGCTGTTTTAGAAAAAAATAATCTATGTAATAACATAATAATATTACGCGGTTCGTCATCATTAGTGGGCATATTGTATCTAACTATTTTTTGGAATTCGTTTTCACATTAATCATACAAACATTTTGCTCTCAATTTGTTGAGGTTTCGATGTGCTTTTAAATGTTTTCCTTTGGTAAATAATCATATCGGAGAATCTGGCGTTTAAAACATATAATTTTTTATTATTTGTTATTGAGTGGTTAGCAATATCAATTGCGTATTTAATTATTGTTAATAATTTAACAATGTTCAAAATTAGAAATACTGTGGTCCTAGCACCGTCATTTTCATTACATTTACATAGTAATACTATACAATGTATAGTTATACATCATGGTCAATATTATAGTTCACGTATAATAAAATATGGTCATTGCCGATGTCAAGGTATTTCTTTTCGGCTCATACACTTCACTGGCATACCCCGACTCGGGGGGCTCAGCAACCCTACACTTAGTGTCATTAGAATTGAACAGACATATAGAATTCTATGTTTTTAGCAAAATACAACATAATTTGAGCTACTAGGTGTGATATATTTGTCAGTATCCTACATTTCTTGTGACCAAGACGGCCCAGTAAAAGCGACGATAAAACATTTCTTAAAGGTATGAACTAATATGACAAACTACCTGAAATGTTGTTCAGTGTTTAATAATTTTAAAATTTAATATACTTATTTATTATTTAGGCAATAACCGAAAATACATTTTGTGTATTTATTTTCAGTAGTGCTGATATGCTTACCGCACCAAGATGCTTCTT